CATACCACTTGCATTTGAATACAACACAACGCTTTATTGGTAAAGCAGGATACTCAACCTCGATAATTTCTTCTACACGACCATAGTAAGAACAATGCTCTCCAACAATAGACACACCGCTGTTAAACGTGGCACGTTTGGCACCGTGAGTCTCAGTGTGAAAGCGATAACCATTGACATAACAAATTGGGTATGTGCTGACGACGGGTAGAGGACCCCTTGATACATCACAAATAACTTGCGGTGTATCAACAATTTCCCAAGCCTGAAAGTAGTACAAATGATGAATAACTTGAGGTGTCTCATTATTATAAGTAAAGGACTGAATTGAGTTGTTAACTGAATTAAGGCTATGATATATATACATGTTTTTCAAACCATGATGCAAAACTTTCTTCCTTTTGCAGAAGTAAAGCCTCATCAGTAATGTCAGGATTTGAGTCGCGTAATGAATCAACATATTTCCCTTTCTGTCTGGTGAAAGGGAAGGAGACCGATTTAAGATCTGGTTTTCCGCGACGGAATGTAGCGACGGTTTTATTCCGTCGCTACCTAAAACGACATCGTTAAAAATAAAGTAAACTCAGCGACCGTTTCTTTCTGTCGCCAATCTAACGACGCTTATTATCCGTCGCTAAGTCCGTCGTTAAAAGCAGCGCGCACTACTTCCCGCCTATACTTAACGACGGAACTTAAAATCCGTCGTTAAGTCTGGTAGGCAGCCCATATCCGTCGCTATATCCGTCCCTAATAACGACGAAAAGCATTCCGTCGCCATTTTCCGTCATTGTTTTTGCATTTTCTTGTAGTGTGGGTATGGACTTCGAGACGAGCAATCATGTTAAATAGGCCACAAGCCTTTGGTACATACTCCATACGGACAACTGGGCTAAAGACAAACAGGATGCTTGTAATGAATGTCTAGACGAATACTGTGACAAACAAGGTGGGTCAAAACCTTCTCCGATACCATGATAGAATTTAGGATTGTGTTGAGATAACTGGATTGGGCTATAATACACTTGGGCTGAACTACATTAAAAGATTGAATCCAACCAATTACTTAATTCAACTCAAGAGCTTATATAACCATTATTTTCCTCACACTTTTCCGATGTGAGATACTTTTTAACAGAAACTTTAAGAAGTTGGAAGAAACTAGAAATTAAAAAAGTAGTACAAGTTAGAAAAACTAGGAGTCGAAAAAACTAAAAGAAATTGGAAGAAACTAAAAAAATTTAGAAAATGCTAGAAGTTAATATATAATACACAAATAAATAGAGCTTGAATGACTTTATGATGTATGGAGCAAATGAGTGCACCATACTTTGGAAATAAAAACATGTCTCTCTTATTTTAGTGATTGGTCTATCGACTCTATCAAAGCTGATTATTTTAAAAAGTTTAAAAAAATGGAAAAAATGAGTAAAATTAGTTTGGAGAAATAATTGAGAATAATCTCAACTTTACTAGGCATTTCAAAAAGAATCTCATCTATCAGTGCAATGCATAATAATCTAAACTTTACTGTAATTTAAGAGTTTTTGGTTGCCGCTAAGCTGCTAATGGTTGGTTAACACAAATGGTCTGTTTTGCGCAACAAAATGAAAGTTGAGGCTATTTTTGATATTTTTTGGTGTTTATTTTTTTTGAAATTTTCTCTTAAATTTTTTCTACATCCATCATTTCTTTTTTTAAAAGATTAGTCATAGCTAAAAAAATAAATATAAAAATAAAAAAGACAAAAAAACTAAAATTCTACAAAATTAATGAAAAAAAGATAATCAATAAAAACCAATGTCAAACTGATAAGAACTAAAACTAATTAATAAATTACTTTCTTACTTCAACATACTTTATTTTAACTATTTATTAATAAGAAAAATGTATTTTTATTTCTTTAAGATTTTAATGAGAAAATATTTTTTTATTTTTTATTATATATTATTCATTTTTATTTTCATATTTTATTAGCAGGAGGAAGTAATATATTAATATTCTATATAGTGTGTAAAACGTTTTAACCTACCACTTCATATATTTTGATTTCTTACTAGTATGAGGTTATTTTTTATAGATTACCTTTTTAATTCATTCTTTTTATGATTTTAGTTGTGTTTCGCATCTTTGTTATTCTTATATCTCTCTTTTTTTAAAAAAAATAATTTTTTTCTAAAACAAAGAGAAATGATGGAGGTACAACATCAATTTGAAAATTTCAGGAAATTTTCAAAAAGAGTAAAAAATAAAAAAAGAATTTATAAAACATATTTCCAACTTTTATTTTATTGCGCAAAACATACCATTTCGATTAACCAACCGTTAGTAGCTTAATAGTGGCCCAAAATTTGCAAATTTCATTAAAGATATGATTATTATGCATCACTTTAAAGAGTGGCATTACTTTTGAAAAATAAGGTAAAGTTAGGATTATTCATAATTATTTTTTCTAATTATTTCCATCTCAATTTTGTTATTTCCAATTTCTTCATACTCTTTCCATTTCTAACTCTTTCTGACTTTTCGAAAAGGCATGTTTGAGAACCACGTTTTTAATTAGCGTTAACGTTTTAGATAAAGTTTTAGTGGTGCAGGTTAATTATAAAAATGATAGTTTTTTGAAAATGCCAATGTGAATCAAGTGATAGCCAAAGTCTTCGGATTTCTTTTTCTAATCCTTTCAATATCAAAGTCTATATTTTGAACTCATAACAAGATAGCCTAGATTTGCAAATTATTCAGTCTTCACAATTTGAAAGAATATAGACCATCATTCCATTACAATTCGTACACATAGGATTACAGGAATGGATCTAGTAAAAGTAAAGAGAAGAAAAAAGAAAGAAGCGGTACAGTACATTAGTCATTTTTATTTTGCCTCTGCCTGTCTTCATCATTGATTGTTCGGGACTTCGTCCACTCATGTGACTCAGTATTCAACAGCAGTAGTAAAGAGGAAGAAGGAGAGATAGAGAGAGAAATTACAAAATAAGGTGTAGCTTTCCATGATTTGATTCCTTCCATAGTTCTGCAGATCACTGTGAGTAAAGATCTTAGCCTATCTTTTTGTTTTGTTTCTACTTCATTATCTATATATTCTATATTTATAGCTTTTGATTCTTTGCTTGAGCTACTTACTTGATCGCTATATGTTCAAAACCAGTTTCAAGCCTACTCAAGCTATCCAAGTAAGCATATTTTCACGTTCAGAACAAAGGGGCTGTTTGAGCTATTGGATCTGTATAGTTTGGATGTTCGTGATTGGTTACCAGTATCATTATTTTAGTGTTGACTCCTAAATGTAATATATCTTTCTACCAGTTCGGTGTTTTTTTGTGATAAATTCTTTCATTTAGCTAAGTGGAAGTACTTTTCAGTTTCTTGGGTGGTGTAATTTATTTGTAGTTTGAAGCATAAATATTCGCCTTTCGATCTAGGAATTAGCTTTGAGGCACAAAGTACCACACTTAGTGATGTTCCCTGTTCGTACTAGTAGGGCCATTTTTATGTGATCTAATCAATTTTTGTTTGTGCCTCCATACTTTTGCTGGGTTATGGATGAATCAGAGATGTAACTGTTGACGTCAAAGTGTGTGCCTCAACAATGGCTTTTGGACTTCTCATTGCATATGTTTTATTGGGTGTGCTGAATTTTGGGAACGCTGAAATTTACATTGTGACAGTTGAAGGGGAACCTGTGATAAGTTATAAAGGTGGAATCAATGGTTTCGATGCTACAGCTTTGGAGGAAAATGAGAAACTTAATGTAGCCAGGTACCCTAATATCATTTCTACTTCTCATTTTGTAGTTAATTTCAGCAGTTGTATTATGAACATATGTATTTCTCATTGTTAGGTGTGTGCTTGGTTCGTTTTTATGTATTTATCTTTTCCTTTTCCCTTTCTTTTTCTCTTTACTTGTTGTTTTGTTCTTTCCGGGTTCTTTTTTGTTTTGAGTTGTGCTTTGAGTTGGGGCCTCTCTTGGAAATAACTTCTCTACTAGGGGAAGAAGGTCTGCTTACATCCTCAGACCCCATTTTGTCAGATTTTATTGGGTTTTTTGTTTTTGCTGTTGTATTTCTCATTGTTGCACCATCACTGTTCAATTACTTAAACATCAACCAAGAAAGAAGAAGCATTTGAAACTGAACTGCATAGCTCCCAAGGAATTCAAAGTGTTCCAGGTGTGATAAACCACTGGTCATTGTCCACCTTTAAGGAGAGAGTTTAATTCAATTGTTGATTTCCAACTAAAAGGAACTCAGTAAAAATGATTTAGTCGTATTACTTATCAGTAAAAAGTTTTGCACATGTACATCTAAGAAATGCTCATTACTGAACTTCTTTACACAATGGATTCTATTTCTATCTTAATCCTCTAATTGATGTTGTTACCCTGTCTGTTTTCTGTTATGCCTCATTTACAGTGAATCTGTTTCATCATATGCAAAACATCTGGAAAAGAAACATGATATGCTTCTAGGGTTGCTGTTTGACCAAGGAACTTACAAGAAACTATATAGTTACCGCCATCTCATAAATGGCTTTGCAGTTCATATTACACCTGAGCAGGTGACAATACACTAATTTCTACTGATACTATCTTGAATGTTTCTGGGGTGAAAAAACACACATACTCCCTCCTTCCCTAAATAAAGTTCACACTTTCCATTTTCATGTGTCCCAAAATAATCTCCCACTTAAGGAAAAGAATAAGTGGTTCAAAATAATTCTTTCTTCTAAACAAATTCCAACCACACACTTCACTTTTCACTTTTCACTTATCAATCATCTCCTTATAATTGTGCTTGGTCAAAGTGGTATATTAAGTGGGGACAGATGGAGTACTATTTTTTAAATGTAATCTATGTCGATGACCTTCTTTAATCTATTTCTTACACCCTTAACATTTTATTAGGCAGAAATCCTTAGACAAGCTCCTGGTGTGAAATCAGTTGAAAAGGATTGGAAGGTGAAAAGGCTTACAACCCATACCCCTCAATTCCTGGGGCTTCCCACTGGAGTGTGGCCAACTGGAGGTGGCTTTGATAGGGCTGGAGAGGATATTGTTATAGGCTTCGTGGACTCTGGAATTTTTCCACACCATCCTTGCTTTGCAAACCACATTGCTGAACCCTATGGACTTCTTCCAAAATTTCGAGGACATTGTGAAAAGGATCCGAAGACAAGAAAGAACTACTACTGTAATGGGAAAATCATTGGAGCTCAACATTTTGCAGAAGCTGCTAAAGCTGCCGGTGCATTTAATCCTGAAATCGATTTTGATTCTCCTCTTGATGGTGATGGACATGGAAGGTATGGTTTACCATGCTTTAAGTGTCTTGTCAAAATCATTGACACTATTTTAGAAACTCAGATATGCTAGTGTGCTAATTTTTGCTCATGCAGACGAGTGGATATAATGTTCGGGAATTTCAAATACCTTTTGGCATGCCGAAAGTTAAACAACGCAACTTAGGCTTTAATAACTGATAAGTTTAGTAAACCAATAGATTCAAAAGATCAACCAATGGATGGTATACCTTAAATTGGATTGTATAAAGCTTGAACTTTTGGTTGAGTTGCTTCCTTGACAAAGGAGCGATTTGGAGCTCATGATAGGTCTAGCAAGCAAGCAATTGGTTTTGTGTGGTTTCTTTAGATAGGCGTCCTATTTAAAATGAGGGAAGGGATCTAATCGAACGAGAAATACAAATTATGAAAGAATATAATTTTATGGGTTTTAAGGGATAATCCAAGTTGATTTATATGAGATACGACTATACGACACACTTTATAAAATTACATTAGGGCTTTTATTCACTTTATACTTCAACAATAACAACTGAGGTATAATTGTAGACTCCTAAAGCACACTCTAAGTTGCCAAAAAAAGAGATGAAATTAGGAAATGTGGTAGCAAATCACTAGCTAGTTTTGAAATACACTGTCAGACAAAGAAATTGCATTCATTCACTACATTCTTATTATAAAATGGGTAGCATGAGTGAGATATATACATGGAAAACCAATCAAGAAAATGTTTGGAAAATGACTCATAACCAACCTTATCTGTTCATACAAAATAAAGAAACAGAAGAAACAAATTTGCTATTGTTCATGAATGGCTAGCAAATAAGGGCATGTTCTTTTCGATTGGAATACTAAAGTTGGATTTGGAAGAAATTGGAAGAAGTTAGAAGAATCTAGGAGTTGGCAGAAACTAGAACGAGTTAGAAAAAATTGTAAGGAATTGAAAAATGTTAGATAAATTAAAGTATTAAAAAATCACCCAATTAAATGATTACCCAAATAAATATGTAAGAAAACTAATTTTGGATAAAAAGCATTTCATCTTTGACTATGTTTGAGGTGGTATGTTATAAATTTGGATGTATGATGTTATTCTATATTCGTTATATGTAAATATTTTTTTAAGTTGTTAGAAGGAACTGAAAAAAGTTGGAAAAAACTAGGAGTTGGAATAAATCGGAAGGAGTTAGAAAAACTTGAAATTTAACCTTTCCAACCCAAAAAAACAGGCCCTAAGTCTATTTGTTTCCTTCCTCAGAGTTTTTTTGTCCTATATCTTGTTCGTGATTTTAGTGTCATCGACTTTTTTGGGTAATTGAATTTACTTAAGGTCACGCAAGAATTTTAATAACATTGTTAATGAGTTCAAGACAATGGAGAAAAAGAGGATGATGTTAACCACAGGGTTGAAGCCAATTGGTCAAAATGGTGAAGTGCTTCGGTCTTTATATGTGACAAAAAATACCTTAAAAACTAAAGGAAATAATTTACCAGCAATTAGACCAACTATATATTGTATGGAACAAAGTGTTGGGCAGCAAAGGGTGAACATGAACACAATGTTAGTGTGGTGAAAATGAAGATGCTTTGTTGGATGAGCGATAATATGCGTATGGATAAAATAAGGAATGAATTTATGAGAGCTAAAGTTGGAGTGACACCTATTGCATAAAAGATGGTAGAAACTTATTTTAGGTGGTTTGGACATGTGGAGAGAAGACCAATAGAGCATCCGGTGAGAATGGTTGACCAAATGGTGAATAGACATGTGGCTAGAAGAAGAAGTAGACCTAAGAAGACTTGCTAACAGACCTTCGCATGAATGATCTCACAACAGATATGAAACATGATAGGGTGCCATGACATCGTTTTTGTTTGATCCATGTAGCCAACCCCACCCAGTGGGATTAGGCTTTGTTGTTGTTGTTGTTGTTGTATTGTTAACGAGCTCAAAGGTGTGGAGTACATGCTTATTCAACGATATTACGAAGTTCTTAGCGGGCTCGGTGGTGGGGTCCAAGGGGAAGAGCCCCTGGTACTATATATTAGTATTGTAATTGTAGGCGTAACTCCCAGCAACTTTTGCAAAAAGCCAAAAATGTGGCTAGTATTTGAATACTAAGACATTAGTATTAGAATACTACCCCAACTTCGAGCGATCTTTACAAATATGTTTAGCATTCAAATGTTTATGGACTTCTAGAATCAACTCTGAGGACTTGATGCCTTAGCATTCGAATGCTACAAGGTAGCATTAGAATGTTTAAGGACTTCCAAAACAGATTGAATTCGGAAACACTTTTACCATTCGAATACTACAAGATAGCATTAGAATGACACCAGAACAGTCATGTTGGATCATGCCAAAAGCTTTTGCTCTATAAACAGAAGAGCCCATTGGCACGTTTGAGATACAAAACTCCCCATACTCGATCTTGAAGCATTTGTCTCATCGGATTGAAGTATTCTGGAATACCGTCAAAATAACTTTACTCTGAAAGTTTTCTACACTATTCGCAAAGTCTATCACATCTTTCACGTACTCGCTTATGTCCTAAATGCTGCACAACATGCCTATCCCTCCCAATTTTCTCACAGATCTTCTACACTCTAACTTGTAGGAATCTATATTTCTATATGATTCCATTTGGAAAGTTAGTAGGGTAACTCCAGTTCACTGGATCCCGATCCTTCCTGGAGTGGCTTAAAAGAGAGTAATTCATGTGACTGTGTCCCTAAAGATATCAGAGAGCATACACAATGACTTGAGCTTGATATTGAGTTCTACCTACTTACTGCACAATTTTTTTTTACTGCATTGTGGGATATAAATTTGATCGTCTAATATCAAAGGATGCTATAGTGCAAAACCCAAAAAGCATCCACTATGCTATTTCTATCCACGGATTTATGAATTGCAGGTGTTCTATTATGCTTCTAGGAAATTTCAGATTCTAGATATTTGTGTTTGAGAATTGAAATTCATTTGAGGGTTCTTGTATATCTGGAATATGCCTCTAATACTATTCATACTATAATGTGGATTGTTTCATCGATTTTACTAGTCACACGGCAGCCATTGCAGCTGGAAACAATGGAATTCCTGTCAGAATGCATGGATTTGAATTTGGAAAAGCAAGTGGAATGGCTCCCCGTGCAAGGTGAAGCTTCCTACAGCTATGAAAACATGATGCAACACTCTTTTAAGCATAATGTTACAACATTTTCTTTACAATTGCTACTGGCTTTCAGGATTGCTGTGTACAAGGCACTGTACAGGCTGTTTGGAGGATTTGTTGCAGATGTGGTTGCTGCTATTGAACAGGTATGCTGGTATGATAAGAGTAGACATCCATGGCGTGTATTATAGCATCACACAAAAACCACCGATTTGGTTGAGTATTTACAGTTGGTAGTACGTACACAGCTACATTGTCATGTTCAATAAGCAATGTAGCCTCACATTAGTTTCAATACATTTAAGCTATGATTCTTTTGTGAATATTTCAAATGCAACTTCAGCTTCCCCCACCCCAATGAAGTGTCCTCTTTTCACTCTAGTTCCCATGGCTACTAAAAGTTCCTTCTCTAATTCTTTTCTTTGCAATCCCATATCTTACGTAGTTCCTAAATCCTAAAAATTAGTTCCATAGTTATTTACTAGCTAAAAGTTATATTTGGTGGTGAAAATATACAACATACCCAGCATAATCCCAATTCCGTTGGGGTCTCAAAGTGAAGAAGTACGTCACCTTACCCCTAGAGGCTATTTCTGGTAGACCATTGATGCCTTTATTGGCCAAAACATCATAGAAATTAAGCAGTGGAAGTTTAATGTGCCATTTTGATTTGGTCCATTTTAATTCGAAGCTAAACCATTGTCCAAAATGACTCTTTTCGGTCTATTGGCAATGGACGAATTGGTGGTGAAAATTATTGTTTTGAAAAAATTCCTATAAAGACCCTCATAGTTCCCTACCTCATATGCGCTGGCTTCACTTGACCATATACGTATTATTTCCGAATTTTCCCTTCCGAATCCCATCTGATCCAACCCTAGCCTAGGTGCTCGGCCATAGTGTGCCACCCGCCTAACATCATTTGGAAAATCGGTGAAAATCTAGAGTTGAAGAGTATGTTTCTCTGTGTCAAATAAACCTGTAGAGCCCGTTTGTTGAGCACAAGAGATATGAGCTCTGATATCATGACCCTTTTTATGGGTGTTTGGTGAAGCCTAATCATGGATTCATGGTTCGGATTTGATATCTCTCGCTATCACAAGCCTCCCAAATGGGGTGTTTTCATATTTCCCAATAATAGGAGATACCAATTTGGGGGTTGATATCTCCCTCAAAAGCCGACCACCGCCGCTGACAACCCACCGTTGGTGGCTACCCACTGCCCACCGGGCACCACTCTCTGACATTGGCCACCCCCACAACCACCCCCCCCACTTGTCACTAACAAGTAACAACCATATCATATTTTAGATCTCTCCAAGCACTTTCATTTCAGAATCTACATCATTTTTTCCAAATTTCAAAACTCATATCATATCAACCATGCTTCACTTACCAAACGGGTCCTCAAAATTACCAAGTGATTACAGATTTACAATTCAAAGTGCTCATACTCGGGAATTATCAATCTGTTGAGACTTGAGAGTCCTGGTCTCCCCACCCCCACCCCACTGCACACACACACATGCGAACCAATATATAATACTCTTCACAAGGGAAGACAGTGAATCAAGTGAACTTATTTTAACAGTCTGGAAGGTATCTATGAAATACTCTATATCAAATCATAGTGAGCTGATGAATTATTAATGCATGACATCGACGAACATAACTCTAAGGATTGAGCTATTTCCAATGGAATTGTGAAACGTAGTTGGTACCTGCTAATTTATAAGAATTATTTTACATTGTGTTTTCTCATGACTGAAATATGAGTCATCTATTTGCAGGCAGTTCATGATGGCGTTGACATTCTCAATTTGTCGGTGGGGCCAAACAGTCCTCCAACAACTACAAGAACCACATTTCTAAACCCTTTTGATGCTACACTTCTTTCAGCAGTCAAAGCTGGAGTATTTGTTGCTCAAGCAGCCGGTAATGGAGGTCCTTTCCCCAAAACATTGTTGTCTTATAGCCCATGGATAGCATCTGTAGCTGCTGCAGTTGATGATAGGAGATATAAGAATCATTTGACACTTGGCAATGGGAAAATATTATCTGGCATTGGGTTGTCACGTAAGTTCAATTGCTTTATATACTGGTATACATTAGGGTAATGGAGTTGAAGTTCTAATGTGTGGCTTAGGAGAGCTCCCCTCATTGTTGCTCATGTCGGTTCAGCTGATATGTTCTTGTAGCAGCAGACGTAGCACTGTAGCAGCAACAAAAACGTGTGGCAACAGAAAGATAGCATTTTAATAATAATAATAATAATAATAATAATAATAATAATAATAATAATAATAATAATAATAATAATAATAATAATAATAATAATTTCTTTAGGTAGTGTTTGGCAACTAGCATTTCATTTCAATTCATGTATTTCAATTCCAAAATTTGAAATCTTGAATTTCAAATGACAAGGGGAGGTGTATGGATTTCAAATTAAGCTTTGTTATGAATGAGAAGAATTTGACTCAAATCCAAATTCAAAATTTTTAAGTTTCCCAAACATGGAATTTGAGCCAAATCCGGATTTGAAATCCAAATCCATGTTCCCAAACATACCATTAGTGAATTCATAATGTACATATAAACCTTAGCTATTAGCTATCAGTTGAGTAATGATAGAAGTAGGAGAAATGAGTTAGGTACTGAGTGAGTGAGTGTGATCTTACCATCAACGTCCACACAGTGTAAGGTGAATAGTAACCCTTCTGTTCCAAAATAAACTTCTCTTTTTGCTCTTGTTTGTACCAAAAAAATTTCTCATTCCTTTTAAATTAAGTATTAAGTGGTTCACATTATTTCTCTCATCTACTTAAATGTCAACACCAAATTTCATTTTTTTCTTAAACTCCATGATAGTCAAAGCAAAAAAATTATCATGGAGGGAGTAATTTAATAGGGGCATGGTGGTAAGTTTGAACAGTCTCTCTACTTTCAAGTAAGAGTATGGTTTGTGACTTTGTGTACACACATCCTCCTCCGACCCTACTTTAGTGGCATTCTACTGGGTTGTTGTTGCTGCTGTTGTTATGGTGGTAAGTTCACACCCATTATCTAACCCATTGCTTAAGCTCCTTCTCACCCTTATTGTTTGTATTATAATCTATTTTGTTACCTAGTTTGTAGTTTTGAAATAGTTAAGCTATTAATTAGTTATTCATTCTTGTATTTTATTTACCTAGTATGTACTATGCAGTTTGGAAAGTCTTGTAAGCCTCCTCCATACGAGGAGATTTTTTTGGCAGAAACTGACGAAATGAAAAAAAGTATTATTCTCCAACGGAGTTTTGGTGATTAGAGAATATCAAGCAAATTCGCAATTCTTTCTCTTTTGTGTCTGTTATTTTCCTTCATTATTTTTTACAAAATTTTCAGCATCATAACGTCATCTTTATCATCTTTTCATCTGTTTTTGAGGATGTAAAAACCATACATCAACACTTTAATTCCAAATTTAAAGTGTCATTTAAAATGAATAAGTTATCTGAACATCTTTCCCCGGATGCATCTAAGTGATTATTATCAAGGTTCTGAAATTTGTTTTGCATACATTCTCATGATTCTCACACATATTTTACGGGATTATGCAGCTTCTACACATCCGAATCGAACGTTCACTATGGTTGCTGCTAATGATGTTGTTTTGGACTCTTCAGTTGACAAATATATTCCTTCAGACTGCCAGAAGCCCGAACTTTTGAACAAGAACTTGGTGCAGGGAAACATTCTTCTTTGTGGCTATTCATTCAATTTTGTTGTTGGAACATCGTCAATAAAAGCTGTCTCCGAAACAGCGAGAAGTCTTGGTGCCGCTGGATTTGTTCTTGCTGTTGAGAGTTCTTCGCCGGGAACCAAATATGATCCTGTTCCTATCAGACTTCCTGGGATTGTCTTAACTGATCAGAAGGATTCAATGGTATGCATCTTAGTCCCCATGTGTTCCATTGTAGTTGCTATAATTGAAAACTATGGAGCCTTCCAGGGACATTATGTTTGTTGTAATTTAGTAATAGGTAGTAAGAAGTAGAAAGGCCATATACTAAGAAATAAGAGTGCTTTAATTGATTATGGAATGAAAACAATATAAACCGGCACAAACAAAAGCATCCACAGGAACCCTCTTCAATATAACTTTCAAGGAGAACTACTCTGCTCAATAACTTATGTATGGCCTTCAAACAAAAACAATGGTGATAAGTAATACTACGTATATTATTTGTCAATCAAGGCCTTATAAGATTACTAGATTTTTGCTCATATGATTATAATTCGATGCGAATGAGATCCCGATTCACTCCCTAATTTCTGGAGTTAATTATTCATGATTTCCATTATTGCTACCTTCATCAAAATAACCTTGTCCCCAAGGTTGAAAGCCTGAGTTTTACCATAGAAGTGTGAGGCATCATCTTGTGTCCTCTTCAATCAAATAGCTTGAAGTAGGTTGTTTCATGTTTGTGTTGTGTAAGCAATGCATACAAATGAGAATGGGGGAGAGACCGAGAGAGGGAGAGAGAAAGTGAGATAGATATATAGATAGAGAGAGATATATATATGGATAGATAGATAGATAGAGAGAAACAACCAACCCTATATTCACACACACACAGATATATAAAAAATTGTTGTTAGAGTCCCACTTCGGAACATTGAAGAAAAATTTTGGGTTTTGTAAGCTCTTGAGTTGAACTAGATAATAGATTGGATTCAATCTTTTAATGTAGTTCATGTCAAGGGTCTTATGACCCAGTCTAGTGACCCCTACCCCTTCTAAATTCTATCATGCTATTAAGGAGTAGGTTTTGGCTCACATCGTTTGTCAAGGTGACTATTATAGCAACCCGTAATTTGGTATTTAGCCTAGTTGTCTTAATAGAATTCATACCCAGCGGCTTATGGCTCATCTGACCTGATTATTTGTCTCGAAGGCCATACCTAGCATTTCGTGGTCCTTTAGCTCTTGCCGCTGCATTTTCAAATATTTGTTTCAGGGGGCGTGACTCCAATTGCAAGTCCTCAACAAGTTAGTTTTAAAATGACCCTATTGTCCATCTGAGAAAGAGTGTGCTAGAGCATGTTCTCTTTGTCGGATCTGATTTGGTGTGATTGAATGGATCTGATGATTGATCTATGCGATTGAATTTAAAGTTGTATTGTTATTGTTGTTATTATTATTGTTGTTGTTGTTGTTGTTGTTATTATTAGTATTATTACTCCCTCCGTCCAAGTTGAAACTTCTCAATTTGACTTGGCACGATTTTTAAAGTAAGATGAAAGAGTAATGTATTTTTCATATTTGCCCTTTTCAATTACTCATCTCTCCATAACCCACTCTCCCCTTTTCTTCATCTCTCCGTAACCCAAAGTTCTAGATCTTCTTCTTCAACTTCAGATCAGTCCACCTGCAACTCAGACGTGCCCAGCGTGCAACATAGACAAATCCAAATTAAAATCCCATTACCCTCAGAAATCAAATCTGGGATTAGGCCAACAAGTTGAAAAAGAAAAACTGTAAAGCCTAAGAAATTGAAAATCAAATCTATGATTCGTACTCAGAAATTGAAAATCAAATCTAAGTTTTTCTTGGTTGCCCTTTTATCGCCACCCTTTTGCTGTGCCTTTTTGACGCTGCTCCTTCGTCACTGTAAGGGCGGTCAGATGAAGAACATGAAACAAGTGGGAAAGAAATCAGTGGGGTGGGTGGGTAAACGAAGAAGAAAGAAGAAAAAAAGAGGAAGACATTGTTTGTTTGAGATTGGAGGAAGAAGAATGAAGAGAAAGAGACGAGAAAAGAGAATCTGGGGCTGGTCTGGAGGAAGAAGAATAAAACTAAAGAGATTTGGTGGGGGGGGGGGGGCTGGGGAATTGAAGNAATTGAAGAGAAGAATAGAATAGAGAGGAAAAAGAAGAAATTAAAGAAAAAAAGGTGGGGCTGTGGGGGTGTGAGAGGGGGATGTGGTGGAGATGAGAGAGAATAATAAGGGGTAAAAGAGTAACTTTATGTGTATTTTGTTTCTATTTTAGGAAACGGGAAGAATCAAATGGGATGGCCCGAAAAGGAAAGTGAGAAGAAAGATATGGGACGAAGGGAGTATTATTATTATTATTATTATAATTATTATTATTACTACTACTACTATAACTATTTTTGTTATTATTATTATTACTATTACTATTATTATTATTATTATCATTATAATCATCATTATCACTAAAATTTACATTATCAATATCGTTATCGTTGTTATTATCATTATTATTGTTATCATTCGAAGTGTCGTTGTAAACTTTGGTAGGCTAGATATGTTGGAATAAAAGCAAAGAAAAAAATCAGTATAAACGTACCAAACAAAATTAGAATCCAAATGTGTACTCTCCATCCCAAAATTATCATCTCACTTCGAACAACTTGCAAAATCTCATCTCTTTTAAAACAAATTGGTATAGAAATAAAAAGTAAAAATTACACATTTACAGAATATATAAAAAATTCTACAAACAAGAGATGACAAAAAGAATTTCTCTAATTTTGATATACATTTTTAGTCATAACGGAGTTTGTTCTTAAAAATGTATTTTATATGATAACGAAATATTGACCATTTGATGAATGTTAAGTTTTTGGGTAGGTTAATTTTATTATCATCATTATTATTATTATTATTATTATTATTATTATTATTATTATTATTATTAATATCATTATCATTATCATTATTATTATTTTAATATGAAGTATATATTTTTCTAATCTGGCTTAGTCTAATCTTATCTGAATGGATTTGGTTTGATGTGATCTGATTCAAATAAGAATAAGTAATAAGTTGGAGAGAACATGCTCTTGGAGTCACACATCAAAACTTTGAAGAGAATATAGTGGGTTTATATGCTCATGAGTTGAACTAAATTATTGGTTCAATTTAATCTTTTAATGTGGTACAATCCAAGTGTCTTATGACTTAGTCTAGTGACTACACTTCATCTTAAATTATATCATGCTATCAAAATCAAAGAGCAGGTTTGGGCTCACCTCACTTGTCTAGGTGCCCTCTAAAAGTTCATTTCTAGTGGCTCGTGAGTCGATCTTTACCCTAGTTATTTGTATGAAACTCATACCCAGCAGCATGTAGCTCATATGACCCTATTGTTCGTCTAGAAGTCCATAGCCAGTGGCTTGTGGTCCTTTAGGTCTTCCTACTGCATTTTCAAATATTCGTTTCAGTCCTGCATCAGTACTTTAAAGAAAATATGGTGGGTTTATAAGCTCTTGGTTAGTTCTTGGATATGCTAACAATGAATGAAGGGTTACTAGCCTAATAATGTTTAGTCCTTTGACATGCACTTCGTCTGTTGCATTTCTCACTAAGTATTTTTATGTTCCACATATACATTGAATCAGGGGCTACTAATGTTTTGGTACTTTAGTTCTTTGACACGCACTTCATCATTTGCATTTCTCATTAAGTATTTTTATTTAGTGTCCCCGCTTTGTTCCATTTTGTTCCTTAATATTGTTTGTGAATTTATGCTTTTAGGAGCTTATAAAGTATTATAATTTGTCCACTTCAAGAGATTGGACGGGGCGTGTTAAGAGCTTTAAAGGAATAGGACGCATTGGGGATGGTTTGAAGCCTATACTTCAAAAAGCTGCGCCACAAGTGGCATTGTTCTCTGCTAGAGGACCAAATATCAAAGATTTTAGCTTCCAAGATGCTGATATACTCAAACCAGATATTCTGGCTCCTGGTTCTCTAATTTGGGCAGCATGGGCTCCTAATGGAACAGACGAAGCAAATTATATTGGTAAACTATTTTTTTAAAAGTTTCTGTAACATCATTGGTTGAGGATAACTTATATGAGGCCACAATCACTTTTGTGGTGAAACATCACATTTTGAATATAACAAACAAAACGGCTAAATATATAGTACTACCTACATTCCCTTATAGTGTTCATTCTTGCACAAGCACGTAGTTTAAGAGAAGTAATGGGTGGTGGAGATAGAGCGTAAGCGTAGTGATGTTGGGCAGAGTATAGAGAAGAGAGAGAATAAAAAGTAAATTGAAGACAATATTTTATTAAATGGGCCCTTTCCAAAATGTATATAAGAACAATTATAAGGGAACACCCTAAAAAGGAATGTGGGACTGTATGATGAAACAAAGGGAGTATTGTTTACATTCCTTATGGTTTTCTTGCCTTAGCAGCATTATATACTTTAAGATACATCTTTGACTCCTGGTACCAACAGAGTTGGGATTATACTAGGTTTGTTGTTGTTGTTGTTGGTGGTGGTGGTGATATTTAAGGAACTTCCAGTGTAGGCTTAGAAAGTTTTTCATACTGCAAATATCTTGTTTGATTGTTTTATGTCACTCTATTTTTTTCTTCCCTGCAATTTACGTTAAAGAAAATGTTTAACTTTGTTTTTAGCCCTCTCTAACTTCCGGTCAACTCTAGTTCAAAAGCAAAAATTCACAGTACATCAGTCAAAATGCACATTTGTTACTTTTCACAAAGAGAGGTTGGTATGAACTAATAATACTCGCATACAATTGATGTAAACAGTCCTCCCTCTGTCCCATAAAAAGGTTCCACTTTCCATTTTGGAAAAAAAATTGTGGCCCCTATGATTTCTCCCTCCTTTGCATCAATTTCAACCACACCATTTCACTTATCTTAATCTCCGTTCCAAATCAAAGGTAAAACCGTTTAAAGGATTTTCAAGAACCCTACTGGAAATTGGTAAAAATTTGATGCCCATGCAGGTGTTCAAAATGGAGGACCAACTCTAGTCTAGAGGTCTTACTTTTTAAACGCCCTATTTCATTAACGCACATTTCTGAAAAAATAAAAGTAGTTACTGTTTTACCTCCTTAGTTCTATGGGAGTATTATTAGTGTATACCAACCTCTATTTGTGAAAAGTAACAATTGTGCACTTTTGTTTATTCAGGCCATTGTATTTTAGAAAAAACTTGTTATCTTGTTTTCGAGAAAACCAAAGAGGCATAAATTGAAAGTGGGAATGTTCAGTTTCACTTAGCCCTTACTTAGCCTATAGTTATAGTCCCTGAATAAGTATATATATGTTGATGTAGAAAGGTTAGTTGGAAGTCGGATGAGCCATGTAATATTTTTTTAACGGAGTTTGACAAGGAGAGAACAAGTGAAACAATGTAAACTGCAGGGATGGAAAAAATGTAAACTGCATGGGATGGGAAACATAAAACGCTAGTTGCAAGGGAAAAAATGTAGGCCTTTTGTGTATGCATTTCTCTTTTCTTTCAAGGGGAGTCTCCTGGTAATGGTATTTCATTGACTGGCTTCTCTGGTAAACTCAACTTGTATTTAAGTTAGGTAATCCACTGTTCATTGTATGGTGCCTCTTGGTAACCTTGTTATACATGAACCCCTAATAAATAAGTTCAATTTTGCTAACTTCAAAACAAAGGCTTTGATAGAGCTGGGTCTAAGGTTGAATCAATTTGTCTTTACTTAATACTTGTGTCACTTAAATACAAGAGATTTAGTAAAAAAAGAAAACATCAAACACCATGAAGAAGCTGTAAAACAGTTTTTGCTGGAATCAGGCGAAGGATTTGCTATGATATCTGGAACCAGCATGGCTGCTCCTCACATAGCAGGAATTGCTGCTCTTGTGAAGCAGAAGTACCCTCACTGGAGCCCTGCGGCTATCAAATCAGCTTTGATGACAACATCATCAACTATTGACCGAGCAGAGAGGCCGCTACAAGCCCAAGAATANGTGTCACTTAAATACAAGAGATTTAGTAAAAAAAGAAAACATCAAACACCATGAAGAAGCTGTAAAACAGTTTTTGCTGGAATCAGGCGAAGGATTTGCTATGATATCTGGAACCAGCATGGCTGCTCCTCACATAGCAGGAATTGCTGCTCTTGTGAAGCAGAAGTACCCTCACTGGAGCCCTGCGGCTATCAAATCAGCTTTGATGACAACATCATCAACTATTGACCGAGCAGAGAGGCCGCTACAAGCCCAAGAATATTCTTCTTCTGAAATGTTGACACTTGTTCAAGCAACACCTTTTGATTATGGCAGTGGCCATGTCAATCCCAGGGCTGCCCTTGATCCTGGCCTTGTTTTCGATGCAGGTAACTCCCCCCCCCCATAGTTTCCCTCTTAACCAACTGAATCCTGTATGTGCACATGTTAAATAAAATTAAGTGATTGGAATTCAATATTAAAATCTTAGATTATACTCAGCACACATTATATCTCGGTCAGGGCACCTGATATTTCTTGGCCCCTGTAGCATGATTTCCCATAGTGTATGTTTCTTTTTGCGTATTTGCAATTCATTTCCTCCGCCCCTTTATGACGAACCATTATTAATATGACAGAGTGTGAAGGTACTCTGAATGAAAAATCATACTGAGTACATAGATAAGTAGTCTTGTCCTTGTCACCATTTCAATCTTGACGTCCGACTTGGATTGGCAAGACATCAGGCATATTTATACTAGGATAATACTTGGGCTTTACTATCCTTTCCATTTTTCCAGGCTTTAATTAAATATTGCGCTGACTTATCATCTGTGGAAACTGAATTGTAGGTTACGAAGATTATTTGGGATTCCTGTGCACAGTACCCGGAATCGATCTTAACGAGCTAAAGAATTTCACGCACTCAGCTTGCAACTACACGCTTGGCCACCCATCAAATCTGAATATGCCCTCAATCGCGATTTCAAAGCTCGTGGGTACCCGAACCGTGTCGCGCTCCGTGACCAATGTAGCCGAAGAAGAAACATATGTAATCACTGCAAGAATGTCACCTGAAGTTGCCATTGAAACAGATCCTCCTGCAATGACACTAAGGCACGGTGCTTCGCGCAAGTTCACCGTGACTCTCACACCTCGCTCCATCACCGGGCGATACAGTTTCGGAGAGGTCACACTGAAAGGAAGCAGAGGGCATGTTGTGAAGATTCCTGTTGTAGCATTGGGCAGTCGCCGGTAGTTTGGAGGTTTGTAATCCCACTTCATGATATACGATGTTGTATTCTTTGGATCTATTGAGAATAAGATGCATAACATAACTTGAGTTACTTTGTCAGGATCTGAGATTTTAAAATTTAAATGATGTAGAGATGGCTAGCCTTGAGAGGAGGGAGAGATTTATTTTTCATCCCACCAACTGATTTGTGTTTGTGACATGGCGAAATTCCTTATTTGCCATGCAAGGACATTGCTCTTCCTAAATCTCCACTTATTCAGCCTGTGAACAAATAAATCCCTACCACAGTTCCCATTGTTCTTAGTTCATGTAGAAATCTATACAACCAAACTGCTTTCTCATTAATCAAGACGAAGTATGAATACAAGTATAAATCGAAAGCCTAATTAAAACGGGCTTGGCCCAATAAACTAGAACATTAAAATAATTACAATAATCCAAATTCAAACCAATGCTGAACTTCACATATTTTGTTTTCAGGGAAAAATATGATTTTCATTTCCAAAGTAAAAAGTTACAAGTGCATTGTCTTTGGTATCCCCTTTCATTTCAAGTGCAAACCGAAAAAAATGAGAAGAAATCTAACTCCAATTTAATCTCAGCTTCGTTATGATCTAAGGGTCATGATTGTCCGTATAAATTGAAACTCAATTCATAATCAATTCATTTGATATCATGCACATAATGTTTAGTTCAGATGTTCAATTATCAATATTCAATTTTCATAATTCAATGTTCAACATTCATCATACAATATTCATCATTTGTCATTCAACAATATCCTTAAACTATTTTTAGTCTAAGGTCAATCTCTTTAATGTTTATCAACCCTTAAATGAAATCTAGTTTAAGATATTTCTAACCAATTCTTAAATTATATTCTAGTTTATGGTACTTTTATCCAATCCTCAAGCTAGGCCTAGTTTAAGATAAAAACTACTTTCGCTTAAGGTCAACCAGAAACCTAACAGCGGAATGCCCACTGTCGGGTTGGGTGGTATCCCCAAACGAGTGATTCTAAAGTTTGGTTTGTAGATCCCGTACGTAAGTTTTAACTCGGTCACCGAATATTCATAATTATACCTGCAAGGCCTATTTAAAAGCTATCTTAGAGGTTTTCTAGATAATTTTAGAAACCAACATCAATATTTTTTTAGATATCCTTAATAGTCATTACCTATTCCAAATGGATATATCTTAGAGTTCTTCTAGATATTCTTAACAATATAATTAATTTGATAATTATCAATGTATTCATTTTAATCATGGTTCAATCATTATTAATCATTTTAATTAGTAGGTTCATCATTCATAATCAACCATAATAATCATTCATCATAGTTATCAATTAAAATTACATCCAATAACAAGTAGCGGCATAGTTTCGAGTTTTAACACTCTAACCTACTATCATGCATCACATAACATTTTATTTGTTAAAAATATCATCTTCATGGTGGAAAATCATCTTTATATTATTCATAATTAATTGGTATCAGAAATAGGATTTTAGAGCTCAAAAATAGCATTTTCGGAAGTATTTTCGGAGCAAACATGTCAGGGAATCGATCTAGCACTTTGGATCGATCCTTTGAAGAAACTTCCCTTCGTGTGATCGATCCAGGAGGGTGGATCGATCCACCCTCTGGTATTTTGACTACTGTTCATCGTCTTCTTCCTCTCGGGTCCAAATTCGAAATTTCAATTTTTAGTTACCAAACTTCAATCAAACTATATAGAAATGTTATCCAAGCTTCATAGATCATTTTGGTATCATTAGTTCATAGGTTTAACATCAAGTTCAAGGTTTATGATTCTTAGTTCTTCAAGCATGTCAAACACAAAACTCAACCAAACAACCGTTTATGAACGCAGAAACGATCTACACGAACATTTTAGTCACTAGATATATCTACGGGCTTACCTAGAAGCTTAATGAAGGTTTTGAGAATTTTTTGGTGAAACTTTCGGTTTATGGCTAGCTCCAGGGACTTCACACCAAATTGACAACACTACAGTGCTTTTCACACACAGCTCTCTCTTTTGGAATAAGAATGGTGAAGATTGGTTAATATTTAATGGTTTATATAGGAAAGAGTAATGAAAAGAAGACATGGTTGATGACTCCCTCTGCTACTGTTTTGGCATCTCAATGGAGGGAGCAGCGATTTCTACGGGCTACAAATGCAAGTCCCTGATTGGGACTAATTTGGTCCCAATCGGGGTACACTTTTTGGTCTAACTTTCTCCGAATTGAAATCTGATAAAACCGTTGAGGTTAGACAGTCAAACTCTACATAATGATATAATTTTTATTATTTATTGACAAAGTTCATAAATCACTTGTTTTTGGATCCTTTTCAGTAATTATATAATCATCAATTAATTAATTATGAAAGACCTATTTTCGGGGCGTTACACTTGGAGCCACGCACCAACATTACTGCGCACGCGGTTTAGTGGCAATACACTACCCATTTATTTATCTTGATTTGACATAAAGTTTGCATCGAGCCATGCACCAACATTACTACACTTGCAGTTTCATATCAATACATTATCCATTTATTTATTTTGATTTGACATAAAGTTTGAATCGATTCACGCACTAACTTTACTACGCACACGGTCCCTAACAATACATTACTCATTTATTTATTTTGGTTTGCCATAAAGTTTGCATTGAGCCACACAACATTACTACGCACCCAGTTTTATATCAATACAATACCAATAAAATGGCCCATTTTACGACCATAGCCAGAACCGAACCACTGTAGCTTGGGCGGAAAAAGTAATACTCATTTTTTCCCTTCATCTTTGTATAGATATAAGTTGTTGTATTAAACCTCAACTAAATCAATAAAAAAACCCTTTTAGGATAGAAATTCCAGAAGAAGTACTTAACAATTCTAGCTAATTTTACCATCCTCCAGATATCACATAGGAACATATTATAAATAGATAGAGAAAATGGATATAAGATAGAGATGAATTTTGGTGGTGATAGTTCATGAGTTTATTTGAACTTACGGATTGACTATGTTACATAGTGTTTGGGCCGGTCCATAGTGTTCGATACCCATACTTGTTTTTTTAAAAAATGATTCTGACTCGTACCCGCTTACCCAAAGGGTCTTGAAGTTTAATCCTATGCTCGGATCCATTGGGTCTCGGTATTAGGTCGGGTATACCCACGATAAAAGTTGATGCTTTTTATTTTTCTATAATTGAAAAACAATTAATGAAAATACTATGAATGAAAAACACTTTAATTGAATACAAATAAAAATAAGACTAATACATATATAGTACAGCAACAAAAATTGGTCTTCTTTACAAAAAATCTACAACAAATATTTTAGCTTCATAATCGGTCTTCTTGTCACATTTATTCATGTTGCAAGAATGTTCTTTATAACATTACAACTAATTTCAAACTATTTATTTTATGTTACTGCATTGCATAAACCAACATGTACATGCCTCTAATGTGGTGAAATAAATACAAAAAGATTTGGAAGCCACACAACTAGCGAAGAAGATAAGTAGTGAAGAAGAGTGGTAAGATTTTGTAATATTTAATATTATCTACGTAGTATGTATTTAAACGGTACAAGTTTTAAACGGGTTGGGACTACTCGTCCTATACCCGACCCTTTATTTTTTTTTAAAATAACGGGTACGGGTAAACATTATTTTTTATACGCCTAAACCCGCTAAAAGATTACGGATTTTATACAGGTTCGGGTATATACCCAACCCATTGATAGGCCTAGTTACATACAAGGGAGAAATAGTATTAAATAATGAGCATTATACTTGATTAAATAATATATTTTAAACAACTAATATAATTGAATGATTCAACAATACTCTAAAATTTCAAAAATTAGACTTTTGGCATTAGAAATTTAATTTAAACTTCTGAAATTTTGAGCCAAGAAAAGGAATTAACATGAGTCATGCATTTCTAGAATCACTTTCAGTAAAATACAATCCTTTGTTTGAAAAAGAGAACTATCCTCCCACAGTGAAGCGGTTTGTTTTTTAGAGGATATATAAACATTACTTTAAGAAGTGGTTAGGCATGAATAGTCTAAAAGAGTATTTCTTTTTCAGCTTAAAGTGCATAATTTTTCTAGCTTAAAATGCTTCAAATTTCATATATCTATATGCTGAGAGGCATTTGCGCACCCCCACACTTAGTCTTTACACTGTCCTTAGGGCATGTGAATATGAATGAACTAATGAAAACTGAAAAATGATCCTAAACTAAATGCAAAGATGATGCATGAGAGGAAAAAAACACTGTTTAGTCCTGGCCAGACTGCCTTACTTCATGGCTCCTCGAGGAAGATTTCCTCCAACTTAGCAACCTGTTCACCTTGATGATATATCTTCAATCTATGTTCATTAACCTTAAAAATCTTATTAATGGTGAAATCTCTTATGACAAGAGTCCCATGGGGAGAAGTTTTTAAAATTTCAAAGGGTCCAAGCCATATGGACCTCAACATAACGAGAAAGATCACCGATTTCAAAATGCTTCCTTGTAAGTTTTGCTTTATGGAAAGCTTTAGCTTACCCTTTATAAACTAATGTGTTATCATAAGCATCAAACTCATTTTCTTGTAACTCAGAAAGTTGCAATTTTCTCTCTCTACTAACCACATCATAATCAAAATTAACCCCCCTAATAGTCCAATAAGACCTATCAATTTCTATGAGGAGAAAAATTATCAAGAAAAACTTTTGGATGAAAAAAAGCAGTGAAAAAAATACAGCATACAATTTCTTTTAAAACGAGAGTAATGTAAACCACAAAAAAAAGTAAACAAAAGTAATCTATACAATAATTTTGAAAAGGAGAAGTAGTGTGCTTGAGGGAAGAGCTGAAACTTGAAATAGTTTGTTATTAGCAAATTAAATTAGTTATGAAAACATGTTCTTTTGGAAAAGTATTACATACACCTAAACTCCATGATTAACCTTCATATATATACGAAATAAGTATTTTCTAGTATTGAAATAAATATGAAGTATTTTTAAAATTAAAAGAAATTGATACTCCGTATTTTTTTTTCACACCCAAATGACCCAACTTGCCCTATCCCCAAACCGCCTCAGAAAACCAAATACGTACGGATTAGAGCTTGGAGCAGCTTCGCGGCAACTTCCTTCCTCTTTCTGATAAATGCCCTAGGTTTTCTTTCATTGTCGACCGCCTCTTCTTCTTTGTCGTAGCCTCGAAGTACTGTATCCTTCCATCTTCACGCGCTGTAGATGTGTACGTAACTAGTGGGCGGTTTGCTCTAAACTCTGATTACTGAAGATGTAAGTGATGTGCACTTAGATATGTAGGCGGTTTGCCCCTTCTCTGGACAAACCCTAGGAAGTAGCTAAATATCTATTGTAAAAGATTATAATCTCTTCCCCTTGCTCTGTTAGTTTGTGTTCCGTCCTATATTTTTACCCATGAAATGCATTACATTTTGTAATTTGAATTTAAATGGTGTCATCCAGTAATCCTGAGATCAACAAAGTAGTGTAAAAGAAGCAGTGAGAACCAATTAAGTGGCCTCATCTCTTCTGCAACAGCACAGAATAAGAAGATGAGTAGCGGTGGCGAAGAATTTAAAGGCTCACCCTATAGCCGCCATAGAAATGAGGACTTGGAAGCTAGCTACCCCCACAGGGGCTATTCTGACGAGGATGAGAACTGTGATCCTTTTGATATTTTCCGCACCAAGAGCGCCCCAGCTGACCGTTTGAAACGTTGGAGGGTCAGTTTCCTGATTATTCTATATCTGTTTATGCACCATTGGGTGCAATGAAATTCAGTCTGTTAGCATATGCTATTTACATTTGTGCATTGTGTATCCTAATTACCTGTGAGACTTATACTGGATGGCATTGGCATGTAGTTTATGGTTTATTCAGTTCTGTTTTATATGATTCAAATTTCACTTCTCTATGACATTACTTGCACGTGGTAAAAGAATGTGACTAGAATTGTGGCTGTGTAATTTGGTAATTACTGTGAGGCCATATTTTTCAGTCTTTTAGATGCTTCATCAAAGCGCTCTTTGTAGCATTCATATGTATCATCAACAGCCTATTGGGTGTTGGAGCGTGCCTACATATTTCTTTCACATAGATGCATTGATACATTTGCGTTGTGATTGCCCTATCAGACGATGTTGTCTTTATTGATTACTAATTGCCTAAGAGAGATGTGGAGATTACTATGGGAAAGTGGTGAAAAGAAATTAATTAAAACCATTCTGTTGTGTTTGTGTTGCCTAATATTTATTTCTCAAACAACATAGACAATGGTTTATAACTCGGCTTGAACCAGTGGATTGGGCCATTTGAATCAAGAATTCAACATCTAACTGGTTTGAGCCATTCATTGAATTGGCCATGGAATTCACTCAACTTGAACCATATAATTTTGAGGTTGAACCAACATTTTGGATTGGGTTATTTTTGATTTTCCTTAAAATTAATACTCTCTCAGTCCCTCCAGTCCAAAATAAACATCACTAGTCTCTTTTTAGGATGTCCCACAATAAATTTAATTTTCTTTTATGGAAGAATTGTCTAGTTAACATTTGATTTTGTTTTTTTCCATTTTTACAATAAGCATCCACTTCTCAATATGAAGTTTATATATAGGATTGCGGGACTAAATTGGAATGACACATGAAACCAACATTGCTTCTTACTTTCCCTGAAGTTTTGGACAATAAATAAAGCAACACATCAAGAGTCTAAGGGGAACATCATTTTTTTTACAAGGGTAAGGTTGCACACATGTAGGCCCCAAGACCCAACAAAGTTGGGATTATACTGAGTTTTTTGTTTTTGTAGACTAAGGATATATTTGGCATTAGCTTTAGCATTTAACTTTTACATTTTGAAAATACTATTGAATAGTAGCTTTTAGCGTTAGCATTTTCAAACTTAATCTGCACCATCAATAAATTATCCAAAATGGTAATCACAAATGTTCTTCCCAAACAACCTTCATTGGTTACCAGTACCACTTAACCATCTACTAGTCCAAGTTTGAACCCCATGCATTTTTTCTCTAAAAAATGATTAGGTTGATTAACATATGTGATTCTCCAAAGGAAGTCACTCAAACCTTTATTTTCCTCACAAGAAAAGATTTTTTTCATTGGAAAATTGGTTTAGAAATTTTGGAAAGATATTACTCCATTCGGCCCAGAATAGTGGCCTTATTTTGGTTTATGGAGTTATTTTCTATTTAATTTATTTTAATATTGGTACGAAATTAAAAAGTAGAATTCATGTATTTAATAAATATATCAAAAACTCTATAAAACAAGAGGGGACACTATGTTAGGTTTACAAATGATTAACACAAATATATAATGAAAGATGATATGGTTTGACATTATGGGATGGGAGTCATGGGACAGAGGGAGTATCATATATTCACAATTTTTGCTTCTTAGGAATGGTAAAACAAATATTGGGCTATATTTTACTTCTCCGCCCCCAAAAAAGTAAAAGTAATGTTTGAAATGCCTTTCTGGCGCAAAAAGAGTAGTTTGATCCAACAAAGCCACTTTTCATATAGTTTACCAAAAAATATAAAAAATAGTCACAGTGACATTGCATTTGATGAGTTTTTAGTTAAACCAATAAATAAACTTAAGATATACATAGTATATTATTTACTCCGTATTATTTATGGAAGTCATACCCATTTAACAACTAAAAAGCTTTTCCCTCTTTACCACTTAATGTATTAGCTTCGGGTAAATAATGGACTAGATGAACATGGTATATTATACATCCTTTTTTCTTACTCTCTTTGAAGTTTTGTGAAGTAAATACAACAATGCATCAAGGGTCTAATGGTAACAGCCTCTCTGATATTTTGATGGGTAAGGTTGTATGCATCTTGGCCCTCTAGACTCCAGCAGAATTGAAATTAGAATGGGTTTGTTGTTGCTTTACTACTTGTTGTAGTACTTACTTGACTAAGTGATGTTTTTTTCCAGCAAGCAGCACTTGTCCTGAATGCTTCTCGCAGATTCCGATATACTATGGACTTGAAAAAAGAAGAAGAAAAAAAGCAATTAGTAGCTAAGATTAGAACCCACGCACACGTCATACGTGTAAGTTTTTTGTGCATAATATTAATGGCCTTCGCACTTAATTTTCTGGTCTTCTCACTCAACATTCTATTTTGTATTTTGTCTGCCAGGCAGCTGTGCTTTTTCAAAAAGCTGGGCAAGCTCTGCAGGGTAATTGTTCTTCATTAAAGAGTTTAATTGCTTTAGTATGATCTTGCACAAGTTGCACCCGTCTTTAGCCTATTACGCAATGCGCACACATTCCCATTGCAGTCCTTATTTAGGCGCCACCTAACCAGTTCTGCTTACGTTTTCTCTATCCTAGGATCTGGAACCCCTAAAGAACTGCCAGGTGCTCCAAGACCAGGCAGTGAATTTGATATTAGTATGGAGGAGCTGGAATCCATATCTAGGGAGCATAACCTTCATACTCTGCAGAAATATGGAGGGGCAAGCTCTCTCATAAACTAAAGTTTGTACTTATCAGGATGATATTATTACCATTTGTATAGTCATTATATCTCTCTCTCTTCTCGGATGTTTCCATATCAGGTCAAAGGTGTTGCAGGGAAGCTGAAAACAGATATTGAAAAGGGAATTGTTGGGAATGAAGGGGATTTATTAAAACGCAGTAGTGAATTTGGATCTAACACTTATCCACGAAAGAAAGGACGAAGTTTTTGGGTAAATGTTATATTGGTTGAGGGTGGATAATTGGATATAATCTTCCTCCTAAAGTGTTGTTACCAAACTACTGTCTTTCTTTTTCTATTTTTATAGAGGTTTCTTTGGGAAGCTAGTGGGGATACAACCTTGATAATCCTGATGGTAGCTGCAGCTGCATCTTTGGCACTAGGGATTAAAACTGAGGTGAGTTTAATTGGTCTGAGTACGTTGTAATTGATTAAGATTAATAGGGACGTGTTGTATTTGGCATTACTTACCCATTCTTAGAATATGTGGAATTTAGAAGTTTTGATGTATCGATTATTGATTATAGATTTTTTTTTTAAAAATAAGTTCAATAAGAATGTAGTTGTATTCAATTAGAATTTTGAAGTCTTTACAAATTCTACCAAAGTCTAGAGGTATTCAATTCAATTTTTTTTTTAAAAAATACAAATGATTGGTATACAAAATATCATTAAAAAGCACGAAATTTAGATATCATTTGTACTTGTGGTTTTTAAGCTATTTATTATAGAGAACTATTGTCCATCATCGTTTCACATTGACCTTAAGTATTTGGGCAGACTTTTGCTCCGTAGAACAAAACTTCTCCCGATGCCATTTGGGCTTTTGTTCATCACCCTATCTTCTTTTTTGTCCATCAAATAGATTATATTATTGTTATACGTTTTTTAAAAATCAACTAAACTTTATTATTAAAAAATGTATTACCACATGTTCATTACAAATAGCTTTATCCATTACATTTGTTAAATTTCTGGTTTGTTTTAAATCAAATACTCCCTCCGTCCTGCTATATTCGTCCACTTTTGACTTTTGAAACTGTTCATCTAAGCACTTTGACTCATCAAGTTCTCTCAATGTGTAAGCCTAAATATAGTCATGTGTGATCTTGTTTGATTTGTCTTAACATATAGATTATTAATATATAATTTCTATAATTTTTTAATATAGAAATTACAAGATAAAATGGATTAAAGAAGTGTATTGGATGGTGTGTGAAAATGAAAGTGGACAAATACAGTGGGACGGAGGGAGTATCTTTATTTTTGTGTTTTCATTGAAAAATGGTTTTGCTACTAAATGTTTGTAATGAAAGTTTGATTAATATATAGTTCATAATTGTTTTGTGTTCATCAAAAATTGTCTTTCTATTAAAGGCATGTTACTAAATTTTCATTTATTGTAAGAAACAATTTTTTTTTGAACCGAAAGAAAATATATTTTATTCCACCATCAAAATGTAAGATACACAATACAACTTAATAGAAACCAAAATCAAGTGCCAAGTAATATCCTATTCAACATTTACTCCTCTAGAATTAAGAAACATGGTGACATGGGACTTAATTCTTTTGAAAGTAGCTTTTGGGGTGATGGTGGAGTTCTGGTGAAGTATATCATTCCTGTCCCTCCAAATATTGTAAACACAAGCAGCAAACACAACTATACTCCTCATCCGTCTCTTGGTGGGGGATATTGCTAACAGCTTTTGGGTTATCTCCTCAAAATTGTTAGCCATGAACTTAAAACCAGTCCAACTAGCAATCTTCATCTGTACTTCTCTAGTGTATGAGCATCTGCAAAGAAGATGATCTCTGTCTTCTTCTTCACTTTGACAAAGTTGGCATGATGTATCGATATCTAAAAATCTGCTCAATCTCTTCTTAGTCTGCAACCGGTCCCTATAAGACAGCCAAAGAATGAATTTGTGTTTAGGGATGGTCAATTTATTCCAAACAATGGGTCTCTAGATAACCTTCTGTCTTTGGCCCATTAGCCACTCATAGCCTGCAGTAGGGTTTTAGTCAGCAGATTTCTCCATATTATTGAATAAGTCCCTGGTTTGCAGCACTTTTTTCCAGTAGAAGCAAGCATCCTTCTTAATGGGATTGTAAGAAACAATTGCTATTGTTGTATGTTCATAAAAATGTATTTGCTACTAAACCTTTTGCACTTTTGTGTTAAATTAAATTCTTGTTCATCTAATTACTACTCCCTTCGCAATGTCCAATATTCTTTTTTGGTTTGACCTAGTGTATTTTTCCACTTTCCTTTTTAAGCAACCAATTATACTCCCTCGGTCACAATTTTTCTTCCTGCTTTGACGGGCCACGGAGGTTAAGAAATATTGAAATTTGCATTGACTTTCCTATAATGCCCTTCTACCTTTCTTCAGCACATCTGTCTTGTTTCCTCCTCCCTTCTGCCCCTTCATCCTTTTCGCCTTCGTCTTCTTCGCCTCTGTCACTAGTGCTCAGATCTTCACTGGTTTCAGACATCCATTGCAATTATCACTGCAGCATCACCTCTGTCGGACGCATCACATCCGTCCACCGTGTTGCCCCCGTCTTCTCCAACAATTGCCATATTAACAAAATGGCATCTGAAAATGGAAAATAGAGGAAGTCAGTAATGGGAACAAGGGATTTCTGTTAAGATCTGGTGGAGATTTGTAGATATGTACTTCCAAGATCTACATCCGCCATTGTTGCACTTCCCAAGCTTTTTCAGATCCGGCTTCGTTCATACTGCAGATCCCATGCCCAACACCATGCTGCTCTTGTGAATATGAGATTTGATGAAGAAGGTGAGTTGAAGTAGTCCATTGGGAGCTTCATTAACATTGAGGGCGTAGATTGGAAGAATAGAAGTTGTTGCGAGGCTTTGGTGGAAGAAGAAGAAAGGGTGAGGCTGTGATTGGGGCAGTCAGTAAGAAGAATCAAAGAAGCAGATTTGGGGGCCATGATGGGAAAATCAAAGATTGAAGAGGTTGAGTGAATCTCTGATGGAAGAAATGGAAAGATAAGGTTAAACAAGTCATTTGATACACAATAATTTGCCAACAAAGGAAATGGGAAGAAATTTTTTGGACGGAGGGAGTAGGTATACGATCTATTTTGCCCCTCATCATTTATTCCCCACCATAAGTCATTTAAAAAGGACGAATTTATGTAAAATATGGGATGGGCATAAATTGCATAATAAGTCATTTTAACCATCATCATGTATTCATAACTGGAACCCTTTTATGGGATGGAGGAAGTATGCATTAGATTTTTATTATGTAAAATATGTGTTATCAGCCCATTGGGTCATCCATGTAAAGTGAAAGTGTAATCCCCATTTAACGTTGTTTATATGGGTGTTTGCTAATGAAAAGATAAATACTATTATCCCTGCAATATTAATGTCATTATTGATATTGTCGTGCATTTAACGTGGAACAATATTAATGTCATTATTGTTGTTGTTATGTCATTAATGCATTTAATGTCATTATCTATCAATCAAAATAAATCTACAAATGTCCATGTACAATAACTCCTGTTAGAATATTGCAGAATATTTATGCACCCATAGACTGCTTGCTGATTTTCAAACTTTCAATTTTTACATTACATTTTTCCTGTGATTTTATCTCGTGTAAGGGTATAAGAGAAGGATGGTATGATGGAGGGAGCATTGCACTAGCAGTAATCATTGTCATAGTTGTTACAGGTGAAAATTTTCTCCATTGTTATACTTCCAATGCAGTTGTTTTTAATGATTATTTTTTATTCTGTATATTTATACTCTATTTGGTTTCTTGTATTTCATTTAATCAATCAGTATATTCTTTGTAGCTCTTTTTGAATTGACAATTCAACCTTAATAATAATAAATATTGCCACAAATGAACAATGGACAAAATGTGAATATAATTTTATGTAAGGTAGATATCTAAACATAAGTGACATAGACAAATACAACAATTATTATGCACAATACACCTTATTCGATAACATTATACTATGAAACATTTTAATATCTGTTTTGTGTGCTTCAAAAAGTAGATATTTAAAAATGTCAATATTCATTAGCATTACAGATATATAAATATTTATATTCACTTATTAGAATTACGATTAATTAATTACTCCCTCCACCCTAAAATAAAAAAACTCTCTGTTCCATTGGAGCTTGCAACTTTCTTAATTTGTCCACCCCTCCATACAAGAAAATTTTCCAGTTCTAATGTCGAAAGAAATGTGGTGGTTTCTATTTTTTCTTTTTTTAATAAACCTCAACCACATAATTTTGCAATTTATTGATATCCGTTCTAATGAAGCCTGGAAAAGTTGAGCAGGATAGGAGTAGTATAATAATTTATACATAGACAATTATTTCAATGGCTGACTCTCAGAACAGTCTAAATCAGTAAACACAACACCAATTCCTGCACCCTTTTGCACTTACATGTTTGCAGAAGTACAACTGCTATCTTTATTTAATGGCTGATATACCATAAATGACCTCCCATCCTCGTCCTTAAAGTATCTCACCTGATGGTTGTGTAGTGTTTTCTCTTCTCTCTAAGCCAACAGAATGCATCTCTCCTCCTTGGGTCTCTAATTTATTTTACAGCCATTCAGAAGTTGTAGTTTTTGACTTTTTGTTGTTATCACAAGCTTAACTCTTTTCTTTGCATTTTTATACCTATACTAGTTTACAGGTTTCTCCTTCCCATCTCTACATTCCAAAGGGTTCGCCTATTAAACTCGATTAAAAAGATACTGAAGTCCATGGCACCGTGATGACAAAATTCTTGCATTAATAATTATACATCTTTCTTGGACGAACTCAAAGATCATAATTTACTTTATTTTACTTACAAGAAATGCAATTGACTAAATCCTAAATTCCTAGGAGGCTTATCGATGGTGCTAATGGCGCGGACCATGTTTGTGCCATTGGCGTTTTACCTACAAAACGCCACGGATTTGGTTGTGGCGATTGATTGACCTGTGGCAGCGCCATTTGTTCACCATTGCCACGACATCACCATTTGTCGCCTTTTTTTCTTTTTTATTTATTTTTTGTTTGGTTTAGGTCAAACCCTTTTTCTAGTATTAGTCAGACTCTCCTGTCACTTGGTTTTCCGCAAACACACACGTCTTCTTGCTCATCTTCTTCGCAAGAGTCGCCTCTATGTCTTCCTCTTTCTGTTGCAACTCGTTCTTTACAGGTCGTGACTCCTTTGCCTTTGCCGGTCGCAACCTTTCACAAATTTAAAACTCAATTAAAGACCTTGTGAGCTTTTAGATTACTCTTTGTTTATTTTTTATTTAACATTTTAGTTTGATGTCTTCTCTCTTATCCTGCTTTTGGGAGTTTCCGGCCTTTGGGTTGAGTTAAATTATTATTATTATTATTATCATTATTATTTATTAATTTTTTTGATAAACTATTACAGTATTAATTAACTCCCACTTTATTTTTAAATAAATTTAAAATTTTTTTGGGGTCTTGAAAATTAAAGGATATTAGTTTTTATACTTTGTAGTTCATAAATCATATTTCTTTTTGTTTGTTTATGTGCCACCTTTAAACTTAATTTCGTTAAGACAATGATATTTCATGTTTTTAAAACATGATTATCTTTAGTGATATATTTATATTTATTTTAAAAAAATTATTACTTGTTATGACTTGTGGCGACACCATATTTGCGCCATCGCCCTAGCAAATTGGTCCATCACCATGATTGTCTCCATGCACCATGACAACTATGTTCCTAGATCAATGGGGTTGATGACTAAATTGGTCAAGGGATAATTTAATGGGTAATCCACAAGGACCACAAGTATTATCATCTCCTTCCACAAAGTTTACTCTTTTCCAGTCAAATACCACATGTTAATCAAGGTTGTTGTCCTAATGTCCCTTATCAGAACTTCCAATCTTGGACACAGTGTGTTCCTTGTTTTTCAGATCTCCTATGTTTTAAACTTACAATGTATCTAGGAACCTACATTTGACCAAAATGCATTTGCACCAGACCTAGTCATTTTCCCTTTGCCCTCTTTATTAGCCATTACTCTTGAAGAAATCTGAAGATAGAGCATTTTTAAACTGTTGTTTTGATAAATAAATTGAGCAGTAAGGATTTTATGGCCATTTATTTTTCTGGTTAAAGGGTTTCCAAAACTCTTTTACATAAATTTGGCCGTTAACTCTGATCTGACAGCCAAATTGGGTTTACAAAAATTTATGTTTTTCTGGTGCTCATTGTTCTGCAGCTGTAAGTGACTACAAGCAATCCCTTCAGTTTCAAAGTTTAAATGATGTGAAGCAAAACATACAACTTGAGGTGTGTTGAACAGTTAGTTGTGCTTTCTCCTTCGGCAAGTGTTGTGTACCATTAAATTTTGCTTAAAATTTGCAGGTTATCCGAGGTGGGCGAAGAATTCCTATTTCTATATTTGAGATTGTTGTTGGTGATATTGTACCTTTAAAGATCGGTGATCAGGTGAATGCAATCTCCCTTCTCCTTACTTTGCAATCTTTTGCTCTAGATATAATTGTATTGATTAGTGCTCTATGGCTTGCTGAGTACCCTTTCAAGGTGCCTGCTGATGGGCTTGTATTAAATGGACATTCTCTTGGAATTGATGAGTCAAGTATGACAGGGGAAAGCAAGATAGTGAGTAAATGATGGACCTCTTTTCAGATACCTCTGAATTATATTATCTTCATCTTCCTGCTAACTTGACTTTTTGGACTTTTGCAGGTTCATAAAGATTCAAAAGCACCATTCCTAATGTCTGGGTGTAAAGTAGCAGATGGGTATGGGACCATGCTGGTAATCTATTTTTTAATGTATCCTAAATTTATTAAAAATTTAAAATGCTCCTGCCTTAGACCTTAGGCGAACTTAACTGTTTGAGATATGAACTTGGCATTTTAAGTTCAGCTATCTTAATCTTGCATCTGCCTGTAGCTGCATTTCTTTTGAACGTATACATGCTTTTTGCTAATCTTGTTGTGATATTTTCTTTTCTTCAAGAAGCTTGTCCAAGCTGAGCAGTTGGCTAAATTTATTGACATTGAACATGTTAGCATTTATCTTTATGATTGTTGTTAACTTGTTAATGTGGTTCCAGGTATTGAGTGTTGGAGTTCATACAGAATGGGGATTACTAATGGCTAGCATTGCAGAGGATAATGGGGAAGAAACACCCCTGCAGGTTCAACTCATTTAATTTAATGTGCTGCCTGAATAAGTGAATATAGATAACGCTTTCCTATGTACTCTGTAGTAATTTCTTTTCTATGTTTGACATCAGGTCCGTTTAAATGGTGTGGCAACATTCATTGGTATGGTTGGCCTTGGAGTTGCGCTAGCTGTTCTTACTGTCCTTATGATCAGGTATTTGTAGATCTGCAGTTTGGTAGATGTTTTCTTTCTTTTTCCATGGATGTCATCCTCAACGCGAAGTAATGTTTTTTGTGCAGATTCTTCACCGGGCACACCAAAGATCCTCATTTTGAAGCTGGAAAGACTAAAGCTGGTGATGCCATAGATGGGGCTATTCAAATCTTCACAATAGCAGTATAAGCTCAGTACTTTTGATGATTCAATTTTCCATGTATGATTGCTTTTTATCTTTACAAAGTCTATATAAATTTGTAGGTAACCATTGTAGTTGTGGCAGTACCAGAAGGCCTTCCCTTGGCTGTGACTCTCACGTAAGTTTTCTAACATTCATTAGTTTGAAAAAGTTCTCCATATTGCTGCTTCATGTGAGATTTATTTCAACAGCGAATCACACTCATTTATCAGTTTCCACTTTCTAGCATTGCAGTTGTGGCAGTACCAAAAGGCCTTTCCTTAGCTGTCACTCATTTTTAACATAGTATTTAGTTGTGGATGCGTGCTTTCTATGCTTTGGGTCTAGTTGCTAGTGTTGGTTTGTGTGCTTCATGTCTCTGTACTCCTGCTTTGCTCTTCTTTGTTTGTGCAGCTTTGTTTACTTTGTGGTCTTTGCTTGAGTTAGTCAGTTTGGCACCCCCCAGATCCTCCTTTTGTGGGATTTTACTGGGTTTGTTGTATATATTTTCACAATCTGAAAAGTTTTCCGCTGTTATATTTTTTGTCACAAAATCATTGTTGTAACTTCTGAACATTTGTGCTGTAGGCTTGCCTATTCGATGAAGAAAATGATGGCAGACAAGGCTTTGGTATGTGTACTTGTTATCATTAGTTCACTATAGTTTTATCCAAGCACGTTATTGTTTTACATATTTTGTCAGGATTGCTTTTTTAGATGCATTTTTGTGGGGGATAAAATTGTTATTGCAGGTTAGGAGACTTTCTGCATGTGAAACTATGGGGTCTGCAACCACTATTTGTAGTGACAAAACTGGAACTTTGACTTTAAATCAGGTAGGCAAGAAAATTTCATTCCTCCATCTTTCTCCTTTTTCGCTTTCATTTTACATTGTCTTAACATCAGGGGATGATGGAGAAAATTGTGTGAGTTGGATCAGTAGCAGTAGTGTCATAGCTTTGTTTCCCACTTGTCTGCTTTAATTTGGTCCACCAGATGACTGTTGTTGATGCTTATATTGGTGGAAAAAGAATGTCCCCCCCAGATGATAAATCCCAATTGCCGCAGAAAGTTATATCTCTCCTCCTTGAAGGCATTGCGCATAATACAATTGGCAGTGTGTTTGTTCCTGAGGTAGGCCCATTCAATGGGGATTTTCAGTTACATTGTCCTCATTCCCCCATCCCCTCTTCCGTTTTTAATTATTAAGATTCAATTTTTTTGTGTGTAAAAGAATGCTTCATTGCATGTTGGTGGGTTGCCAGTTTAAATAATTATACTGGTTGAAGTCATGAATACATTTAAAACTTCGCCAAGGTGTAAAGTAGCTTGTCTAGGCCTCAAATCTATTTGTCATCATTCTGATATGTCGGCTTTGTCAAAAGCAGTTAGAAAATGAGTTTGGAGTTTTTTTGAAGAAATTCTCCAACATTTAGAGTGTTTGGCTAGAACACCATTCTAGGAGCAGTAATTTGTTCTTTTGCTTTTTTTCATGCTTGATTCTTTCATTGAATATATTGAAGGATATATACGTATACTGCATACTGACACATACATACGTACATTTATGTATATATACATACACACTGGAAATACAACAATTTCATTAAGAAAAGAATGAAATATAAACCTGGGTGACTGGTAATCCCAAAGGCTACTTGATTTAAAATCCGATTAATTGACAAATCCTACTATTACTTTTTACTAATAATATACTAATTAAAACAACGCCAAACCCAATATAATCCTAACAGGCCTGCTGGTTCGGGAACCACTCATGTGTTTTCTTCAAAAGAATTTTAAACTTTAAAACATGAAGCTATTCTAAACATTTTGCCTTTGTATGCGATTTCTTCACAATTGATGTGCTATGTTTTTTATTTACATGCTACTCTTGACTTTTTATGATATGTAATTGGGAACTCACCACTACACCCGATGTTTTGAAAGGCCAAATCAGGCTTCGGGACTATTAGACTCTCTGACATGAGGCGTGATGAGGCATAAGCCTCAAGTTTATTTAAATAAAATTATACCATAAACTGCATAATTCATACTGTGAAATAGAGTAGTACTTTTACTACATTGGTATATCATTATAAGTAATCTAAACTTAAAAACAGATTTTGACTGGTTTAAAAAACAAAATCAAACAATGTTATCCAATCATAAAGTATTTTTACCAAATAACAATACGACAATTAGTAATTGACTTATAATGTAACTCTCCAATTCTCCAATTTAAACAACTCGGTAAGGGTTGCCTAGACCTTACCCCACCAAGCTTGGTGGTTTGCCCACTGGGAGTAAAAAAAACAACTGCATATTAAAATCCCACTTATACACAAGATTAATTAAAGAAAGATTTGGATTGGGAAGAGGGGGGGTGACTAGAGGAACTAAATGTTAAAAGAAAAAGATGGATAAAAAGCGGACTTTAAGGTAAGATAGCTATAGTTGTCGATGAACTGGAGTGAAGTATAAGACTCAGATAGTGAGAAACGAAAGAGGGAGATGTTTCTTTACTCAGCTCCTAGGTTTTTCTTAATATAAATCTAGGTTTTTACTATTTACACTGTGGTTATTAGAAAGGTCAAAGATGGAGCAAAGTAAATAATGGCTTTGTTTTAAAACAACAGTTACGATTAGAGTTAGTGTTTTGAATACTTTTTTCTATCTTTGGATTGTATTTCCAAAACACTAAAGCTAAACACTTAAGGGAATGCAAAACAGAGCCAATATAGATGTCTAAGGCTCCAAGCCCAATAGCTTTCAAGAACTTTCATAAAATCATGATAAAAGTCTGAGGTTTAAGCATCATTTAAGCCTTACCCTCATACACCTTGATACACTTATCACCTAGGTTGTAAGCCTAGAAATACCAACATGAGGCCTAAGCCTTTGAGGCTTAAACCTGCTGCCTTAAAGCCTCACCACCTCGAGGTGGATTGCCTCCAACACCATGAAAACTATGACTACACCCTTCCCTTAACATGCTTGTGCAAAAAGGCTCAAACACTGCTATCTTTTTTTAATTCATTTTCTCCAATTTATCCTGACGCTATGGCGTACTTTTTTATGGAGGAAAATACTTGTTATCACATTCCAAATAAGCCAAAGATTGAGGGTTCATCTCCAAAAGCAATCACAAGCTTGTCATATGGAACTTTAAATTGGGAAGCATCTAGGGTTGTTCTCTCGTTAATTGTCTCACAGGAATGTATCACATTCCTTGAGAAATGACATTGCATTTACGTCTTATGATTCTTATCTTTTTGATGATTCCATTTATGTATTTAATTTTCCTCTATTTGTTTTGCTCACTTGCTCATCATTTTTGCTTTTTCAATTACGCCTCCTCCTATCTTGAATTAGTTTATCATGTCATATGTAACATTCTAATGTTCTCCATAATCTCCATTTTAGCCTCAATTTTAATTAGAGTTTATTATCATTTTACACAAAGAGCTCCCATTGAAATGTTGCGTATTTGCGTTTTTTGGGGTGTGTTGTGCTTAACAGTTGTTTGAAGTAGTCTGGGTTCCATGTACAAATATTTCCTTATTTTCTAAATTCCTTGAAATGGTAGTCCCCAGGCAACTATGGAGTGCTTCTGTTGTTCTTGAGTGCCGATTTATATATATATATATATATATCCTCCTGTACTCTTTTGAATAATATTAGACATTTGAATACACTCTTCTATCTTCTATTTCAACATGGTACCAAAGTGTCTTTTTTGGGGCCTCACCCTTCTCGCCTGCCATATATCAGTAGTGACAATCTCAGCATCTTTCACAATACCTTGGTGAACGGCGTTGTGGTTTTTAGAGTCACCTGTTACCACAGCTTTGACCACTTGCGGTTTAACCACTCGCTATTGTGCGCCAGGCTCCTTCTAAATATTTCTCATGTATTTCCATTGGCCATGGTTGAATTGCATGGATTGAGTGCTGACAGTAGTGTCGGTTTGAGCATTGGAGGAATAAGTGCAATACCAAATTCTTATTTCCTAACAGAATTAAATGCTTTCTTGTAGCATTCGGTTCTGTTGGTATTTTGACTATTTTCATCGGCCTATCATAATTAGACAATGGCATAGTTTACCAGCTGTCAGCTGACCTTCATAAATCTATCCTAGAGCATGTGAACTGTTTAAAACATTATTCATACTCGCTGGCTCTTTTTAATCATATTGGGGGGGTGTGTGGGGGTGGGGGGGGGGTATTGTTACTTTCTTTTATGTTAGTATCATCATCCTTGTGATACCTTTCTTTTGATATGTTGCATAGTGAGGAAATTCCATAAATAGTCCCTAATTACTGGGGGTTTTTCATATTTAGTCCCCAACTCTAAGATATTAGATAAATGGTCCTCAATTTTTGAAAATTTTTTCATAAATAGTTCTTTAGGCCAAATGTGACAATATTTTTTTCAAAAATATTTAGATTAGTTTTCAAGAACTGAGGACCATTTATGTAATATTTTAGAATTAGGGACTAAATATGCAAACCACTTGTAATTAGGGACCATTTATGGAATTTACTCTAGCATATATGATCAACTTTAAGTATCCATGATTTATTCTGTGCCTTCCTCCAGGGTGGTGGAGCACCTGAGATTTCTGGATCACCAACAGAGAAGGCCATTCTCCAATTTGGAGTTGATGTAAATTTCCTTTCGTATAAAAGTTCTTGTTTATTCGCATTCTACCATTCACGCTTTCTTTCCTAATATTTTGTTAAGCAGATTGGATCAAGATTGTTATATACTCCCTTTGTCTCTAAAAAAATTCCCACTTCTAACTTTAAAGAGTTCAAGAAAAGTGTTGAAAAGTTAGAAGTGTGGTTGGAAATTGTTTATAATAGAGAAATGTTGTGAGCCATTTTTTTTCCTTAGAAGGAAATGGAGAGATGGTAAAGTTTGTTTTGGGACAGGCGTAAAAGGAAAGTGGGAAATTGTTTTTGGGATAGACGGAGTATTAGATTTGTTTCTAATGTTTTCTATCTTTTAGATTGGCATGAACTTTGCTGCCATTAGATCGGAGTCAACAGTTATCCATGCCTTCCCATTCAATTCAGAAAAGAAAAGAGGCGGTGTTGCCCTGAAACTGGTAATCTGTGCATCTCTTAATTCAAGCGCAATTGCATTCCTTTTGCTTTGAATCAGTTGCTTGAAAACTTTGTTTTCACGTTTCATTAGATTTTAAATTGCAATAAGCTCTTCTGTAACACTGAAATGAGAGTAAAGAGAATGACATGGGGCTCTTGTGGAATATTTAGAAACATAAATTTATCTTCATCTGATTGGGATTGCACCACCCCATTTCTTGTTGCTTATAAATGATTTATGGGTACTGTACAACAAATTTTTTGTTTCCGACTTTCTCTACTGGCATATTTTGTTTTTTTACCAATAAATTACAGCTCCAAGCTTCAGAGATGATAAATGTTTAACCTACATGATAGTGTATTAGTTTTTTTATCATTGGATTTTCTGATTTTTTTCATACAATAATGTCTCAACGTCCATTGCCAATGGCGTTAAAAGAGTCACTTTGACTATGTTTTAGTCTCGAGTAGATAAATGGACTAGATCAAAATGACACATTAAAGTTTTTTTGCTACTTACTTTTGATGAAGTTTTGAGCAGTGAATGCAGGACTGCATCAAAAGGTCTGAAAAAGTTGGTATTATACTGGGTTTGTTGTTGTAATAACCTCTCATCGTGTGTAATACCAAATTTTAATGTGTGACAGGTCATCTGTTGCAATAAAATACCACTATTTACAACTATGTGAGGACATGGTTTCCCCTTTTGTCTCACGATGAATTGGATGTAAAATACTACCTCCGTCTCCTAAAAAACTTCATAGTTTGACTTTTGTAGTCAAATTTGACAAAATTTGACTACAAAGTTATAATGTAAATTTAATATAATTGGGATTTTTAAAGATGTAGTTTAAATTTTTCAAATTTGTTTTAAAATTTATTTATTTAAGATTATATTTATTAATTGTCAATGTGTGTTCCTAGTTGACCAAAAAAGTCAAACTTTGATGTTTTTTAGGGGATGGAGGGAGTATTTGCTAAGTTGGAGTTTTGGGTAGCTCAGATTGAAACATGAGATTATCCATGTAGATTTTTATGAATGAGCTAGATCTAATTTCAATTTTCTGTGAACTGTCGCATTTCAGCTTTCACCTGGAATGTTTTGTTTTTAGCCTGTGAATATTAAAATTCCTATTTCCTGCTCTTTTGATGTTTGTTACATACGTTTTTTCTGTTGCAGAACAATTCTGAAGCTCACATACATTGGAAAGGTGCTGCTGAAATTGTTTTATCTTGCTGTAATAGCTTCATTGATGCAAATGATAATGTGGTGCGCTTGGATGAAAATGAGGTTGGAAAATTGGTTCTTTTTTATGCTGCAATTGTAGTGTTTTAAAAATATTCTTAAAAGAAAAAAAACGGAGATGTTTTTAACATTTTTGTCTTAAGACTTGCTTGGCATCAATAGTTTAGACGGAACGTTTCTATGAAAATTAGAGACATTGAGTGTGGCGAGTGCCGTAAAGCCTCCACCTTCCATGGCAGCAAAAAGAATAAGGGAAGTGCAGTTATATTACCTATTCATTGTGAAAAGAGGATAATAGGTTCTAGCAATTGTGTGTTTCTGATACACACAACAACAACAACAACAACAACAACAACAACATTACTCCAGGGCCTCAATGGCTCCCGCCCATTGCGGGGTAAGGGGGGTCGGATGTATGCAGTCCGACCCCTATGTTTAAAACATAGAGCGGCTGTTTCCAGATGACCCATGATGAGCGTCAAAAGTTGCATTGACTAAGTGCTACTTCATAATTGCAAGAAGCGCAAACACATTAAAGAGCCAATTCGCTTTATTCCATCATAGGTGGTTTGAAGGTACACTGACCCCCGACCTCAATACTACTTTATCTACTCTTTTAGCTCACTATTCAATAGTTCCAAAACCAATTAAAACCCTAGAACTTTATCTTTCTTTTCATCGAATGCTATTGAAACTCTGAAATAAGTGGGCTGTGTACTAAGCATTCCGAAGAAGCCATTGACTTTCTTCTTTACACTGTGAAGTTATTTTGGTGCTCTTTGTTTGTATATGGCGATTACTTGGTCTGACTTCCACAACAGCAGGTGAAAGCAGTTGTCGTCTCACTAGGATGAAATTTCTAGTGGTGTAGGTGGCTTTGGTTGCCATGATTATGAATTTTGAGTCAGTAATAATGATGGCTCTTACATGCAATACTTTTAGTTTATATGTTTGTTGTTTTATCATGGAATTATAGTTGATGTTCAGAACTTTAATCCCCAATTTTTTCAGTTATTATGATGTAATAAGTCATATCTTTAAGAAAATTGTAATCTAATATACCCTCACATAGGTTATCTGTATATTCCCTCTTTCCCTAAATAAAAGTCCATAAGTCCATGGCTTCACGAATATTAAGAAAGTTGTTGAAAAGATGGAAGTGTGTGGGTAGAATCTGTTTAAGGAAAGAGAAAAGTTGTGAGCCACATGCCTATTTCTTTTTATGGAAAATAGAAGGGGGAATCGTATTTTGGACTTTGGTACAAACAAAATATGAAAGTGGGAATTGTAATTTGCGACGGAGGGAAGATATTTTAATAGTGTTTTTATTTTACATACAGGGCTTAGGCCCCATAGGTAAAGGATAATGCTTCAAAGCCCATTTTATCTAATAGAAGCCTTGCTGGTACTTAAAATTGTATGTGCTCAGGTCTGATGTGGTTTAGGATGCAGAAAATAAGCAGAATGATACTTAAATTTCCTTCTTTTATTCCAATGAGTTTGGCTAACTCGGATATTAATCATCATGTCTATTTTTGTCAGCAGCAGTTATCCATCAAAAAGGAAATTGATGTCATGGCTGCAAATAGTTTACGTTGTGTGGCTATTGCATATAGGCCATATGACACGGACAAATTTCCCAAAAGTGAAGAAGAGTTGAGTGGTTGGGTGTTGCCTGATACAGATTTGATCTTACTCGCAGTTCTTGGGATCAAGGTATTGATTTAGTTTGTTGTATATATTATATGCTAATGTGTTAGTTACCGTGTTTGGTTGCTTTGATGTTTTAGTCACTCACAGAAGTATCTCTCCTGCAAGTTCCCTCATGATTCTTTTTTAGCGTGTCACATCCATTGGATTGTTTTTGCTTCCATCAGCATTCTTATTTAAAATTGCTCCAAGTTGTTTGAGTTATTAGTTTTCCATATTTCTCAAATATGCTACAGGATCCCTGCCGGCCTGGAGTTGGAGATGCAGTTCAATTATGTATAGATGCTGGTATTAAGGTAATACACTCACACAGCTGTTTCCTTTAGATGCTTGATGCATTGCTGCTTTTAGTATTCAAAACTTCATAGTAAGTAAGCAGCAAATGAGTTAATATGCCCCATTTTGATATGGTCAATTATTTGCCTGAAGCTAAAACATTATCATACAGACTCTTTTAACTACTTGTCGAAGAGAGTTTTGGAATTGTTATAAATATTGTAGTTAGAGCTCCAAAACAGTTCTCTTCTTCTGTAATACCCCAACCTGCGTAACCCGAACCAACGAGTTAGCGAATCGGGTTGCTACTAATTCGGTATTCACATGCACAATATTTTAAAAACATTTAAAAATATAACATTCATTCATATTATTTAAGAACAATCATAGTTTGATCGGAGTAAATAAAACAAACGTTGCGAAAGCCATTAAAAACAACATCAACATCCTTGTAATTTAAATAAACAAATTCAACAAAATAAATTTAATATAAATCAAACAGCTTTGGCCATCCAGTAGTTTCTAGTACTAACTCATAGACTAGCATCAATTAACATATAAACGAACAATATCTTTAGTATCAACAATTACAATTATTCAACAGCTTGATCAATCGTTCGTCCGTTCGTTCGTTTCAGATCCTTGCATAATCTTATTATACTTAACACATACGGCTAAAGTCTAATTAAGCACACTAGTCACGGACACTCTAGGAGGTGCCAAGAGGCCAAGCTTGTAATCCAATGGAAGGTGTCCAATTGGACAGGTTGGAGCCCCTACCATGGAGGTTCCGATGCAGGTCGTGGACTCCCGTACATACACTTTAACCTTGGGGACCATCAGGTGTACACCGACACCTACATGACCTTAAGTTTCAAAACCTTAGTCTCTGTATTCATTACAACTCAGTTTAGTTAGGAGCATAGTCACAAAATTCACTCCCTAAGCCGCGACTTCCATATTGGTACGTGGCGTACCCAATCGCAATTCGATAGCGATCCGATCGTAGGCGATACGGCGTACCCTTTGATGTGGTACAACGTACCAGATCGAGCTGATACTGCGTACCAAAAGCCAACTGAAATCGTCCCCAGCCCCTTGGTACGGCGCACCAAGTCAGAAATAATGGCGTACCAATAGCCGGCAGTACGTCAAACGAGTCCAATTCAATTTTCCCTCTTCTAATTGGCGACTTTCTTGTTCCAAGACGTACGTAAATTGAGTAGTTCCCACTTCCCAAGCACGTATTAAAATTCCACTTTCCAATGTCTTACTAAAAAATAGAGTAAATTCCATAAAAGGTCCCCAGTTATAGGTCGTTTTACATATTTAGTCCCTACATATCAAATATTACTAATTTAGTTCCCAATTATTATATCCATTTCTACGAATGGTCCTTTGTTAACATTTCCGTTAAGAACGTGGATAAAATTGTAAATTCACACTCCTTTCTCTCCTCGATTAAGCTTCCTCCCTCCCCTCGCACTCTTTTCCCAAACCCGTTGATTCACACTCCTTTCTCTCCTCGATTAAGCTTCCTCCCTCCCCTCGCACTCTTTTCCCAAACCCGTTGCTGATTTTGAAGCTTTGAACCCAAAACCGAAATCATCACTCTTCTCTCAATTGTTTGTCTAACTGGTGGACCACAAATTCAAAACCAGTAACCTTCATGGATGAGTTATAATGTTTATTTTTTTTTTGCAATTTCTTGAGACTAACCGATAAAACCCATCCATAAAGCTTATTGGTTTTGATTTTAGGTTCCACCAAGAAGACTAATAATTGAGAGAGAATGATCATTTCAGTTTTAGGTTTAGAGCTTCATACTCAGCGATGAGTTTTTTAGAGTACGAGAGGAGGGAGAAAGCTTAAGGAGAGAGAGAAGTATGAATATACAATTTTATCCATGTTCTTAACAAAAACGTTGACAAAGGACCATTCGTGGAAATGAATATAATAATTGGAAAAAAAATATAATAATTAGGGACTAAATTAGTAATATTTGATATGTAGGGACTAAATATGTAAAACGACCTAGAACTTGGGACCTTTTATGGAATTTATTCAAAAAATAACTCCTTTAATATTTATTTAGAAATTCAATTTACAATTAAATATTATACTACTCCGTATATTCTAAGCACTGCACACTCTCACCACTCATAACTCAACCTCTATTGCTCTACTTTCAATTTTTCTCTTTTTTTTCAATGGCTTTTGGAAAAAAAATAAATTCCATAAAACCCAAGATGATAGTAAGACCCATATTAGCAACACACACAATTATGTTGATGTTGAAGTTGTTGAACAACTGAAATGTTATTCTTGTTTTTTGAAGCTGTTGAACACACAGTCTTTTGTTTTTCTATTGTATTTTGTAATGTTATCCACTTATGCTCATCTTATCTATTTTTGTTTACTTATGTTTTGACTTTTGGTACACCAAACCGAATACATAGTACGCCGTAATGCTTTGTACCGAAATGAACCTACCCCCCTTCGTACCGAATTTGTTTCCTCTAGCGAGTTTCGTGCCCGGACCGCGTACCCGTACGGTGTAGGCGGCTTAAAACCCCTGCCAAAATTTTCGGTTGCACGACACATGCTTATTAACAAAGGGGAATTTGCAACATGAAATGGAATACCATTCTCAATATAAAATCTTCCCACATCTAGGCAAACTCTATCTCTAGCTTCCCTTTCGCTTATTGGTTTGTCTGGAATAGTATCAATAATATCAGGAGTATCAACATTAACATCCACAACAAATCTATCCATTTGACCGCACACTCCTCTATTAGAGTTGCTACCACCGCTTGATGAACTAGTAATTGTATCTGTATTTCGGTAGTACGCACCACTATCAATGAGCTCCTCCCGATTTCTCAAGATCACCCGCTTAGTTTGTACGACCAAATTCAAAGTAGATAACATCTCTTGTTTAACTTCATTAGGAACCTTAGTACAAGGTGCTGAATTTTTCCTTGTATCAGCAAGATGATGCTTAAATTAACTAATCCCGCCTTTGACATCTTTTTTACAAAAAGGGCCCGACATTGAAGCAATATTCTGAAACACCAAAAAAAACAATACAATATTATGCATTAATTCATCTTAGAAACAAAAAAAAAACAGAACAATTAGCACAACAATTATCAAAAAAGAAGAAAAAAGGAGATTAATACGTAAAACAAATCATCAGTATCCAACTACTTGAAAAAAACAAATCATAAACTCATAAAAACACCAATTGAAAAATCGCACCACCCATCATATATTATTTGGACAGTTTTAAAAAGTAGAGAAAAAGCACCACCCATTATCCATCATCCATCAATTTGCATTTGCCGAAAAAAAAGCAGAGACGCAAAAGAAAAAACCAAACCTACCTTTCTCGGATAAAAAAACAGAGACACGAAGATCGAAGATGAATCGCACCTGGAGACGGCCGACTCGATGCGATGAAGAAGATGAATTGAGCTTAGAAATCGCAGCAATTAGGGAAATCGACAAAGGTAAATTTAAAATATATACACTTAATTGATTAATTGACAACTTTAACCTTTGATTTCCTAAATTTTAAACGCTGAATTGCGTACGCCTCATGGAGCGCACAGGCGGGTACGCCCCATGACTTATGCCTTTCAGAGAATTGCGTAGAAAGGCTAATTGCGTGAATCAGGATTCGCACCAGTGTGTTATTTTCCGGAAAAAGTTATGATGCGCACCTTGAGGCGGGTTTGCGTTCCCCCTTTTCAAACATTGGCCGCAGGACAACTGTAGATTTGCTAGGAAACATACCATCTTGCTTCCATTATGTAGAATTATATTCGGGCTTTGCAATCATACATTCAGAAGTTGGAAACTTGCTACTATAGAATCCTTGAAGGCATTACTTGTGAGAGTGGACAAGCGAAAGACAATATTCGGGCCCTCATGGCCAAGCTCCACATCTCTGGTGGCACTCCGAGTGGCAGTACAAACTAGCTCCTCATCCCAATCATCAACCTCCAGTCTCTTGACAATTTTGTTCAGTGTTTCAGCTTTAAGTTGACCAGCCACAACCCCTACTCTCTAAACTAACTCCTCTGCCAGCAAATTCCAAAGCTTGCTCCATCATTGTCCACTACCTTGCCATTGCCAACAATTAACTTGTTGCCATACCAATCCAACCTATGCATATATCTCCACTAATGCTACCACCTGCACATTCGAGAGACTGACACATTTGATGCTGCAAAGATGAAGCCCACATTAAATCACTCGAAAAACTCGACCAAGGATTTTCCAAGCCTAGAATTGGAGGATTATACCAAAAATTGCATGTCGTAGAATCAAAGCATACTAATTGTCTGTTTCACTAATGGAGGGATACGATTGTGAGGAGTTCATATATTCGGCCAGGATACCAACCACCGCTTCTTTTATATCGGAGTCTCACCTTATCAAAGGTGGTAGAGTAAACTAACTGATGGATTGCTATTGATGTCATTTGACCTTGGGAAGTTTTCGCACAACACACACACAGACATATATATATATATACATACATACATACAGATATATATACATATATATATGTGTGTGTGTGTATGTGTGTGTGTGTGTGTATATATATATATATATAAAACCTAGAGCCAGAAAGAGAATAGTATTGGGACGATGGCATCAAGAGGTACGGGTGTTCATCGGTCTAAGACCGGACCGGACCTAAATGTTATTGGGCTTGGACCGGACCAAATTGAAATTTTATGCACCGAATCGGTCCAGACCGACCCTAACCCAAGGCACAACAAAAAACAATGTATAAACCACTTTGAAACTACACGTCAATTTGAACAGTTTTAAAAATAAATGTTTGCTCTCCACTGTCACAAATGCACACTTGAACATAAATGAAATGGAAGATAAATGGCATCCATTCTTGAAACTTGAAAGTGTTGAGAATTTGAAATAGCCACCCTAAACTCAGTAGCCACTAGCCCGCACTAAACGCCACCATTCACCTGCAAACATTGAGGCATGCATTGGAAAAGAGATTTGAAGAACAATATAAGAATAAACTTTATTATTTTAAGCTACAAGCCTATAAAGGATATGTTACAAAAAGATTACAAATTGCAAAAGATTACAAAAAGAAGAAAAACAATAGTACTAATAACATTGGAATGAAAATGCAAGTTTAAAAAATTACTTGTAATCAAGTTCTTTATTCATTGACAAAGATCAAATCATCATCTATTTTTGCATTCTTCAAATACAAAAATGGGAGTTACATATTAGATTCATTCCACCATTCATGACCTCACTGGTCACAAAATCACAGTTTCGGATATGTAAGACTCGTGCTCCTCGATATTTAATCTCAAATTCTAAAATATTACACGCGTGCTCCTCGATATTTAATGACTATTTCTGTATTTCCTGATCATTTCTTTATAGAGGATATGTTGAAATCAACATGTGATTAAAAAAATTGAATATAGATTGATTTTGAAGTAGTAACGCATGAACTTAATATCTTAAAGTTGTGGAATGTATATAAAAAATTTGTTGAAGAATCGTTTATGGAAATTTCTCAGCTAAACTTGTAGGTCTTACATACCACGATTAAAAAATCAGCAGCAACAACAACAACAACCCAGTTGAATCCCACAACTGGGGAGGGTGTGTGTACGCAGACCTTACCCCTACTCAAAAGTAGAGAGGCTGTTTCCATGATTAAAAAAATCAGCAATGATGTAATTGTCCATGTTCCAAAATGAAGTAGGAAAACAACCTTGAAATGTAATTGTCCATGTTCCAAAATGTAATTGTCCATATTCAAAGCAACCCATTGATAAATTGCAGAAGCAATCATGGTTATCAATGTGACAAATCAAGTAGAGTCGGTGGAGAAGAGTCTAGTGGACTAGTCGACTAGTCGTAGACCAGTAGTTGACTAGTCGACAAATTACAATAAGTAATGAAATTTTTAAAATTATATATTTCTACATTCACCAAGGATAACTATTAAGGGAATATATATTTTTACGATGAAGTATCATTACCATAACAAAATTATGTTTTAAGGTAGTACATAAACTTAGCAGACTTTGGCAATTATAAAAGTTAGAGCAATATAAACAAAAATAACCAGACTTCGCAGTGCAGAAATATAAAGAAATAAAAATCAGAGAAGTTAATTGAAGATTACCTGTTCGTTGTGCCATTGTTCGAAACCGAAGAGTGAGAGAGAGTCGACAGTGGACTGTCTGGTTACGCAGAACGTGGAGATTCAGGGGATGACAGATGACGGAGAGGGAGATGGCGATTTGCGCCTGAGATGGACACGCCAATTTCCGCGATGAGTGAGACTCAGTGGGGAGGATGACAACGATTCAATCTGTGAGGAGGGCAAATGGCAGAGAGGGCGACGGCGATTCACGTGGAGATGGCAGAGAGGGCGACAACGATAATTGACCGAAACCCGAAATCAGAAATAATCTGGACCGAAGACCGACCCGATATCATTTCGGTCCGGGTTTGATCTGGACCTAACTATCCGGTTCGGTCGGTTTTTCCAGTTCAGACCTAAACATGAACACCCCTATCGGGAGGAGATGAGGAAGTCTAAAATGACATCAGTGCCATTGGTGTCAATTGCTTACACCCGTTGGTAAAAATGATGGTTTCTACCCACCCCAGCCCACCCCTTGCCCCTCCCCACCCTAGCAGCATTGGTGGGGGGTTTAGGGGGTAGTTAGGGGTGGGGGGGGGGTTAGGATCTATCATTTTTACAAACGGGGTACTGTAGGTGCCCCAAACAAACTGGAGTAAGCAATTGGTGTATAAGTCATTGGTGTTATTTCAGACTCTCTCTCTCTCTCTATATATATATATATACACACACACACATACATACATACATACATACATACATACATATATATATATATTTGGAAAATTTGTAAGGGGTCAGTGCAGATGTCATGTATATGTATCCCAGTTGGCAGAGAATCAGCAGGCATTAGGCTTTTTGTAAAAGCACTAAAAGAAGCTCTAAACCTCCAAGAAGGGACCGAAACAGCAGATGGTGTGAAGGCTACTTGGAGAGAAAAAGGCTCAGGATCTTTAATGATTGACCAAGTGAGTAAAGTAGAGGGAGTAGTGGAGCAGATGAGCACTCCTTTTATATCCTCAAATCTTCTTGAACATGATATTTCAATGACTTCAAGGGTAGCTAGTTACACAGAAAAGGGAATTTTCTCTGATTCAGATGAGCTCGATGATTCTGCGCAAGAGGAAAAGTAGGTACAAATTATATTTCAACCAGCTTTTGAGGGAGATTTTGAATCTTGAAGGCTGTGGAAAGCCAAATTCTTGAGGCTTTGGCAAAAAAAGTGCTATTGGATAAACTCAAATCGGGTTTACTTCAAAATATGTCGGGAAAGGCACTTAGAGCAACTCGTGAGACGGTGAAAAGCATGGAAAAAGAGAGCCTAATTCTCTTTAAAGGATCAAAATACCCAATTGTCTTTTCCTCCTCTAAAGCTGTTGAAAGGCTAGCGGCAGAATTCCTAACAGGGGTGCAGGAGACGAGGAATCACAAATGGTTAAATTTCAATTGTCTTCCAATTAGAATGGTTCAGGGGCTATCTTTTAGTATTTTTTTAATAGATGTTTTCTGTTTCGGTTGCACTGTAAGAGAATGGGCAGGGGCTATCTTCTGTTTTAGGCAAGCAAATTATGTGAATTTCGCAATAAAAGAGCAGAAGCAAGAAGAGGGAACCAGTTTAGGGGGTCACGGATTAGGGACTGAGGTTTGTTAAGGATGATTATGCTGATGACTACCTACCTCTAATTCAGACCAGAAGACGGAACCAGTTAGGGGATTCAGGATTAGAGACTGAGTTACTTTACCTCAAACACTGGCGGTCTGTTAGATGTTTCTGAAAATTATAAGATGGTTTGGGATGACCAACATAATGGGAAAGGGATTGAGATTTTTCAACGCCAGATGCAATGCTTCTTACTTGGATTTTTTTTTTCCAGCATGACCAAGAAAATGGATCGGTCAGGGCAGTTTCTATTTGTTCCAGCTTTTGGAAATATGTTATCTTTGGAGTTTTTATCTTTGTAGTTTTCCCTTTTGTTGTATCTTTGAGCTTAGCTCCGTTTGGCCATATTGTTGGGGCTACTGGCCTATATATATATATATATATACATATATATATATATACATATAAATATATACATATAAATATATATACATATATATATATACATATATACATATACATACATATATATATATATATATATATATATATATATTAGGGGTGAGCAAATTAACCGAACCGACCGTGAAACCGAAAATCGAAAGCCGAAGTAACCGCTAAATCGGTTTCGGTTTCGGTTTTCCATGACAAAAAGTTTAGTTGATTATCGGTTTTTTCGGTTAACCGAATAACCGATATATGTGTTTTGTTTGGGTAAACCGAAGTCTACTAGTTATTAATATGAATTTTTGTAAAGCCCAATAGCAAGTCAGCCCACTTCATTATCCGAAAATGGGAATTGTGTGAACAGCCAACTTCATTATCCCTAGGGAAACCCTTGGCTTTACGGAACCAGAAGATCTGACCTGATGATGGTCGCCATCGTCTACATCCACGCTGCATTTTGGGAACCAGAAGATCTCTTTCTTGATGAGCAAGAGACCTTCGTCACGTGGTTCCACTCCTTCTTGAAGGCCGACCCCTGTTCCCAGCGTTGCCCCTCGGCCTCGGACTTGAGCGGCGGGTCTGTGATCTGAAAATCACAGCGGCGTTGGTAGCAATTTTTCAGCCGTTCATATCAAAATGATGAAATTTACAATTTTGCCTGGAGGGGAATTACTCATTTACTGGTTGAGAAAACAATTTGTATTTCATTGTTTTAGAACAATAATTGGATTCTGCTGAAATTGGAAGTCCCAGTGCTTCTCGTGATGGTTCCGGCCATGGTACATGTTTAACTATTGTTTTATTTTTTGTATGGGTGCTATGGAATTCGGTTTTTAACAACCGACCGAAACCATTCGCTTTAATTTGTTTCGGTTTTCTCGGTTATCCAAATACATCGGTTCTGTTTCGGTCGGTTTCTTTGCATCTAAAAAAATTTCGGTTAGTTAGGTTTTGACCCGAAACCGACCGAACCGACCCGATGCTCACCCCTTATATATATATATATATATATATATATATATATATATAGTTCTCGTGAGAATGCACCTTGTGGAGAGAAATGAGAACAAAATCTAGCCGTTGGATCTGATGCATCGTGTGGCTCAAATTGCATCCTGCGCTCAGATTTTGAGATAGTGCATTTTCAAAGGATTTTGGTGCATTTTGATATGATGCATTTTCAAACCATTATGGTGCATCTAATTTTTAATGCAATCCTGACCCTTAGATCTCACAATCTAAAGCACCAGATTCATTCTCATTTCTCTCCTAAGATCGCATTCTCACCAGAACCAAAATCTATATATATATATGTGTGTGTGTGTGTGTGTGTATGTATATATGTATGTATGTATGTACGTACGTACGTGTGTGTGTGTGTGTGTGTACTGTGTAACCCAGAGCCATAAAGAGAATGGTATCTCGATGACGGCATCGAGAGCCTGATGACCATCTTCAGAGAAGGGGTGGACCTAAAGGTCTTTCTGCTGCTCTAATTCGTCACCTAGCTTGTATAAAGTGAAAAGTGTAAATTGCACTGTTAGATATCCATCACTTCCTGAAACACAGATCAAAGCACATGGATTTCAGGAAAAAGTATATTCTGTTGCCTTTTAAAGTATTTAACACGATTGAATTGTTGGGTTTGCATAAGTATTTAACCGGCTTAACAATATTTGTCTCTCTGTTATGCTTGCTAAATGGACCGTGTTTATCCAAATTCAATAGGTGAGAATGGTCACTGGTGATAGTATTCAGACTGCTAAAGCTATAGCTCTGGAATGTGGAATACTTGAGTCAAATTCAGATGCTACTGAGCCAAATGTGATAGAAGGGAAAGCCTTCCGTGCATTATCAGAGTCTGTTAGACAAGAAATTTCTGAGAAGATATCTGTACGATCTGTTATTCTTTAACTGAACAATCCATTTTGAATATGGCACTTTCTGATTCCGTTTCATTTATTTGATCTATAGGTCATGGCAAGGTCATCTCCAAATGACAAACTCTTACTCGTGCAAGCATTGAGGAAGAATGGGCATGTTGTCGCTGTAACTGGAGATGGCACTAATGATGCTCCTGCGCTACATGAGGTATGTTAAAACAACAAGATGGCTGATGAATATGAGTGTTCAATCCTGTTATTTAACATGCTGTATTTGTACTACAATCCAGTACCCTACTCAGTCGGCCTACTGTTTCTACCATCCTTGGGAAACAAAAAATGGAGACATCCGTTTGATCCTTTACTAAACTTGGTTTCCTATGTACCATGATCATGCAATGTGAAACATCATTGTCCATTTTCTCCATTTTCTTTTCGTTCTATGTATTTAATTTTTCTTACCGATTGAGTATTTTTCCTCCAAAAGAACTCATGAATGCTTCCACTCTCTGTAGGCTGACATTGGTCTTGCAATGGGGATTCAAGGTACTGAGGTTGCCAAGGAAAGCTCGGACATCATCATATTGGATGACAATTTTGCTTCGGTTGTAAAGGTTTGTGAACCTCTGTTCCGTACTTTATTATTCTCCCTAAATCATTTCTTGAAAGACTGTTGGAGAGCGCATTAAAAAACTACTTGCAAAAGTTTTGCAAAACTAGATCTGACAAGAATGTTTTATTTTATCAAATAATCTATGGAAACATACAAGTAGACAAAAGTTTTTTGAAAGGCAGAAATAAAACAAGGTAATCAATTGTGGGACGGAAGGAGTAGTTCTTAATGAGAATATTATTTTATAAAAACGTAAAGTACTTTAAAAAAAGAAATAATACAACCAACATTCAGGAAATTGATTATTTTTTCTAAATGGAAATATTTTTGAGTTTTGGTTTCCAACTTAGCATGTCTTCCCTAAGTGGTTTTCATACTTAAAAGGATCCTTTATTCACGTAAGCTGTCCAAACACGTTTCTGTATTCACCAGAAAAGTTTTTTAACATTTCTGGCAAGTTTTTGTAGTAGAGAAGTGATATCCTTACGTCCCACATTTAGGAAGATGTCTCAAGGTTGTAAGTTGTGTTTAACATAAGAAGTTTATAATATTTTGTGATGGGCTAAACAAGAATGAACTATAGATAAAGTAGAATAAAGGGATTGCCACCATTTATAGGGAGCTGTTGCAGCTCTTGAAATTCCCAAAAATTGAACTAATAATGCTCTTTCTTTTTAGTTAGCTATTACTTGATTTTATAGTCTAGTAACTTCATTCGATTGAATGTTTATTGGCTCTACCATTTATTGCATTTGTTTGTTTCTTTTTCTTTTCTCAATCTAAGGACATTTGTTTGTCTATTAACTTCTGTATCGTATCTCTAGTCTCAAAGATTGGATCTTCACTCTTCACTTAAATCAATTTTTTTGGTAAGCTTTTGCTGATTCATCGCATGGACTGCATCCCCCCTGCAACTACTTACCAACAGAACACCTTGCTTTTTAAGAATTATGTCTCCTGCTGGCATTAATTTTTCTACATTTCTTCTTCATTAAATGTCCTTTGTCTTTTGTATGGTGATTGCTTCATAGTTACATACTTTTCTGTTTTTTGTTTTTTTATGGTATTTCTTAATAGTTGTAACATTTGGTAATTTGATTGCACCTACATTTTAGTTGATACATTTGGTAATTTGAGAATAATTTCTAAATTTTAGCATGTAGAATTTTTTTATAATTGGTTGAGGCAAAGTTGATAAATATTTTGCATGATTATGTGTTTTAGTAATTTTTAATGCAGAGTAAAATTTACATGAAAATTGAAGTATGTCTATGAACCAGTCTAAGTATGTCTATGAAAAATTTAAGCATGTTTATTAAATTAAAATGCCTATGAAAAAAATAAAAACATCCCTATATATAGAAATAATGTTGTTTCCCGTTTCCAATTTGTGTTTTGGTGCGTCTTAGGACTCATGTAACCCCAAATGCTTTGTATTAATTTTAGAATAACTTCACCTAAGTTGCTCATAGTATTGGCTGTATTGCTATGGATAACAATATGTACACACTCTCTCCATCCCAAAAAAAACTTTACTATTCCAGGCTTGTAATAACTTTAGTGTGCGTGTGCTTTTTTGTTAGTTATTTTATAAAATAAAAAACTCATGTTGGCACTTGTTTTGTAGAATATTTGACGTAGATTTTAAAAATGTGACTTGTACTTTTTATTTCTATACTAATTTGTAAATAAAACCATTTTAAAATAGATGGGATCTTGCGTGTTCGAAACGGGAAAAGTTTTTATGACAGAGGGTGTATATGTGTGTGTAGTACAATTCATAACTTCAATCCGAAGCAAGTCATAAATGTCAAACAAGACAATTATAGTTATTATACATAAAATTATCAGATAAAATGAAGCCATGTCCGTCTAAAAGCATAGTCGTAGGCCTCCTCACTCATACTCTTTCTATCAAAGTGGAGTTCTTTAAAGCAGACACCCACAAAATAGATACATTTTTTATGGATGGAGTAGCCTAAGCAACTCTAGTTATACTTATTCCATTCTTCTGTTCATTTGGTAAAACCAACCGAAACCCCTCATTTGTGCATGACAGAAAGCACGGATTGGCAACATTCAATGATCAAATCATCCTCATAGTTAAATCAAGATCTTCCATCATATTGGATTCAACAAGCGGTTCACAATAGTCATTTTCATAGGCATATTCATGTTCAAAATAATAATTCTCATCATCCACATCCACTAGATGGTGGCTATCCATTGTCATTTTTTTTGTTTGTGCAAAGTATTTGCACCCCCTTTCGGAGGCTTTCGGGTGCCATAAGCCTATTCATCAACTCCAGAAGCTCTAGCAACATCATGCCAAATTAATCCATCATTTACTTCCTTCTCATTGGTTGCCTCTAGACAGGCTTCACTCACCCACCCACCAACCACTCACTATATCCGTCTGTATTATCCAAGAATATAGAATCAATCACTTCATGAAAATTCGACAAACACAAGGTCATCAATCATCACCAAGTGTTAGATTGTATTTCACAACACAAGGTCATTCAACCTAGTTTGGTCGAGCATGTTCCTTTTATGTAAATCTACCAAGTGCTAGCCACCAAAATTTGCAAGTACACATGTCAACATTCAATCAATAAGTATGTTTACTTACCATTTTTAAAAAACATACATGTTCAAGGAAGCTCAAATTTCTTTCACAACTACAAACATTGTTAGGCTCAAAATCTTTATAGAAAATTTTTGTAAGATTGGTATGCTTCTACCATAAGCTTTCCACCACTCCACTATCAATAAGCTTTTTATTCAACTAATAAATTTATATTATAAAATGTTTTGTATTCTAATTTGAGACAAGTAATAAGATGGATTGTACTATATGGTTGTGGATTTCGTTGCCCCTTTGCGTCATTGTATCCCAATATACCGTCTGCATTTCTGTAAGGTATGAGCTCGTTTGTAATCTTTTCTCGTGTTCAAGTATTTGGATCTAATTTCCGGAGGAACTTATAAGATGCTTCCACCACTCTATCCTTGATTTTTCAATGTATGCGTCAGAATAACTGGGTTGAAATAGTCGCCGGCTGCATGCAATGAATGATGAAGCTGAACATCCCACCTTTGATCAATGATTTCAAAGCCTCTATTACTCCGTAGTATATTTTTCTCTGAGATCCAAAATTGTTATACCCGAGACCCGGGGTATAATCAAGTTGCTATTTGAAGATGGAATTATGGTATGGTGAAGAGGAAATGAGGGAGACAAAATATGGGGGTGGAACAAAGAGTTGTTTTTTTGGGTTTTTGATGAAAGAAAAGAATAAGTTCAAGAAGAAGAAATGGAGAGATATGAAATGGGAAGAGGTAAAATGAAGGGATAAACCAAGTTGGTGTTTAAGAGATATTACACACTCTTATCTTAACTTGGGGTTAAGTCTAGAACTTAACTAAGATATAACACACTTAATTAATTATCTAGAACCTAAAACTCACACTTAAGATAACCACTCTTAAGATATAGATTTAGGAATTTAAATAGCAAACACAACAAGTGTATTACTAAATGGAAAATGGAATTACAATATGAGTCTCACAAAAGGGCCTAAGGCCGAAATAAATACACACACATAGAGGGGAAACTTCCCTGAAACATCCACTCACAAATCACAAGAATAATTTCCATTTGTTTATGTTTTCTTAATGGAATGAAATCAGGGATTTGGTCTTTGATTTTCATGGCTGGTGGCTTGTCCTTTAGTGAGGAAAATCACAAGGAAATAAGTGATGATTCTTGGGAAATAATGGGGGACAAAGGGGTTGGTTTTATTGGCCTTATATTGGGTCATTCATGGAAGGTATGTGGGGACTGATTTGGTGGGTGGAGTGTCAATAAACTCACAAAAGTCTTTTGTCCTTTTGTTATTGTTTATTCAGCCTAGGTGGGAGACACAAGGGGGACAATGGTTGGTCAATGTTGGGGAATAAAAGAGGGGTTGTTTNCACATGTTAAATAAAATTAAGTGATTGGAATTCAATATTGAAATCTTAGATTATACTCAGCACACATTACATCTCGGTCAGGGCACCTGATCTTTCTTGGCCCCTGTAGCATGATATCCCATAGTGTATGTTTCTTTTTGCGTATTTGCAATTCATTTCCTCCGCCCCTTTATGACGAAGCTTTATTAATATGACAGAGTGTGAAGGTACTCTGAATGAAAAATCATACTGAGTAAATAAGTAGTCTTGTCCTTGTCACCATTTCAATCTTGACGTCCAACTTGGATTGGCAAGACATCAGGCATATTTATACTAGGATATAGGGTTACTTATCGTGATTGTAAACATTATTCTACTTGGGCTTTACTATCCTTTCCATTTTCCAGGCTTTAATTAAATAGTGCGCTCACGTTTTTCGAATTACTTTGCAGAATGTCAGTCGTCATTGTGCCTCAAAACTTATCATCTGTGTAAACTGAATTGTAGGTTACGAAGATTATTTGGGATTCCTGTGCACAGTACCCGGAATCGATCTTAACGAGCTAAAGAATTTCACGCACTCAGCGTGCAACTACACGCTTGGCCACCCATCAAATCTGAATATGCCCTCAATCGCGATTTCAAAGCTCGTGGGTACTCGAACCGTGTCACGCTCCGTGACCAATGTAGCTGAAGAAGAAACATATGTAATCAGTGCAAGAATGTCACCTGAAGTTGCCATTGAAACAGATCCTCCTGCAATGACACTAAGGCACGGTGCTTCGCGCAAGTTCACGGTGACTCTCACACCTCGCTCCATCACCGGGCGATACAGTTTCGGAGAGGTCACACTGAAAGGAAGCAGAGGGCATGTTGTGAGGATTCCTGTTGTAGCATTGGGCAGTCGCCCTACATCCCGGTAGTTTGGAGGTTTGTAATCCCACTTCATGATATACGATGTTGTATTCTTTGGATCTATTGAGAATAAGATGCATAACATAACATGAGTTACTTTGTCAGGATCTGAGATTTAAAATTTAAATGATGTAAAGATGGCTAGCCTTGAGAGGAGGGAGAGATTTATTTTTCATCCCCCCAACTGATTTGTGTTTGTGACATGGCAAAATTCCTTATTTGCCATGCAAGGACATTGCTCTTCCTAAATCTCCACTTATTCAGCCTGTGAACAAATCCCTACCACAATTCCCATTGTTCTTAGTTCATGTAGAAATCTATACAAACCAAACTGCTTTCTCATTAATCAAGACGAAGTATAAATACAAGTACATCAAGCCTAATTACAACGGACTTGGCCCAATAAACTAGAACATTAAAATAATTACAATAATCCAAATTCAAACCAATGCTGAACTTCACATATTTTGTTTTCAGGGAAAAATATGATTTTCATTTCTAGAGTAAAAAGTTACAAGTGCATTGTCTTCGGTATACCCCTTTCATTTCAAGTGCAAACAGAAAAAAATGAGAAGAAATCTAACTCCAATTTAATCTCAGCTTTGTTATGATCTAAGGGTCATGATTGTACGTATAAATTGAAACTCAATTCATAATCAATTCATTTGATATCATCCACATAATGTTTAGTTCAGATGTTCAATTATCAATATTCAATTTTCATCATTCAATATTCAACATTCAATATCCATCATTTAGTATTCAACATTCATCATACAATATTCAACAATATTCAACAATATCCTTAAATTATTCTTAGTCTAAGGCCAATCTCTTTAATGTTTATCAATCCTTAAACGAATTCTAGTTTAAGATATTTCTAACAAATTATTAAACTATATTCTAATCTAAGGTACTTTTATCCAATTCTTAAGCTAGGCTTAGTTTAAGATAAAACTTACCTTCGCTTAAGCTCAACCAGAAACCGAACAACGGAATGCTCACTGTCGGGTTGGGTGGTATCCCCAAACGAGAGATCCTCAAGTTTGGTTTGTAGATCCCGTGTGTACGTTTTAACTCAGGCCATCGAATATTCATAATTATACCCGCAAGGCCTATTTCTAAGCTATCTTAGAGGTCTTCTAGATAATTGTTTAGAGTTCTTCTAGATATTCTTAATAGTCATTACTAATTCCAAGTGGATATATCTTAGAGTTCTTCTAGATATTCTTAACAATATAAATCATTTCATGATTATCGATGTATTCATTTTAATCATGGTTCAATCATTATTAATCATTTTAATCAGTAGGTTTATCATTCATCATAGTCATCAATTAAATTAACATCCAATAGCAAGTAGAGCCTAGTTTCGAGTGTTAACACTCTAACTTACCGTCATGCATCACATAACATGTTATTTGTTAAAAACATCATTTTCATGGTGGGAAATCATCTTTATATTGTTCTTAATTAATTGGTATCAAAAATAGGATTTTAGAGCTCAAAAATAGCATTTTTGGAAGTATTTTCGGAGCAAACAAGTCGGGGGATCGATCCAACCCTTTGGATCGATCCTCTGTAGAAATTTACCTTCGTGTGATCGATCCAGGAGGGTGGATCAATCCACCCTCTGGTATTTTGACTACTGTTCATCGTCTTCTACCTCTCGGGTCCAAATTTGAAAGTTCCATTTTTAGTTACCAAACTTCAATTAAACTATATTGAAATGTTTTCCAAGGTTCATAGATCATTTTAGTATCATTAGTTCATAGTTTTAACATCAAATTCAAGGTTTATGATTCTTAGTTTTTCAAGCAGGTGAAACACTAATCTCAACCAAACGACCGTTTATGAACGTAGAAACGATCTATACGAACATTCTAGTCACTTAATGAAGGTTTTGAGAAACTTCCGGCGACATTTATGGCTAGCACTGGCGACTTCATACCAAATTGACAACACTACAATGCTCTTCACACTCAGCTCTCTCTTTTGGAATAAGAATGGTGAAGATTGGTTAATATTTAAGGGTTTATATCTGAAGGAGTAATGAAAAGAAAGAATGGTTGATGACTCCCTCTACTACTGTTTTGGTGTCTCAGTGGAGGGAGCGGAGATTTCTACGGGCTCCAAATGCAAGTCCCTGATTGGGACTAATTTGGTCCCAATCAGGGTACACTTTTTGGTCCAACTTTCTCTGAACCGTTGGGGTCAGACAGTCAAACTCTACATAATGATATAATTTTCATTATTTATTGACAAACTTTCTAAATTACTTATTTTGGGTCCTTCTCAGTAATTAATTAATTTTTTATTAATTAATTCTGATAGGCTTATTTTCGGGGCGTTACACTTGAAGCCACGCACCAACATTACTGTGCACGCGGTTCAATAGCAATACACTACCCATTTATTTATCTTGATTTGACATGAAGTTTGCATCGCACCATTCACTAACAATACTACACATGCGGTTTCATATCAATACATTATCCATTTATTTATTTTGATTTGACATAAAGTTTGAATCAATTCACGTTCTAACTTTACTACGCACACGATCCCTAGCAATACACTACCCATTTATTTACTTTGATTTGACATAAAGTTTGCATTGAGCCACGCACCAACATTACTACGCACCCGGTTCCATAACAATACACAACTCATTTATTTATTTAGATTTGACATAAAGTTTGCATCGAGCCACGCACCGGCATTACTACCCATTTATGTATACAGTTATGAAATGAATTGATGTACGAAAGTAATAACCTATTCTCAATTTCTTCATGTATACTATATTGTGATGTATAAAATATGCACAAAAACTTAATGAAAAACTAACAAAATCGAAGAAACATACTTGATCGTTGTGGAAAATAACCTGAGTTGATTCTCCAATCCTTCTAAAAGCACTAATTTCGTACACACAAACAGCCCTGACATGAATGGCCACCGTGGTTCGATCCCGATCAATATCAGCATCTTTTGAAACCAATATACCACAAATTAGTATTCAAATGCTAGATTAAATTAAAAATATAAAATAAAAATGAATAGAAGAAGACATATAACTGTAGGTTACCACCTTTGTTCATTGTTCTCTAAGAAATGTTTTTATTTTTGCTTCTTGTTTCTTCAACTATTTCTTCTTCTTCTTCTATTTATTTTCCTTTTTCTTTGCTATCATAACAACTTGTATAGTTTTCTGGAGTAATAGAGACCTAAGAAAACCAAATTATTGTGGATGACGTAGCAACATTGTGAAGGAAAAGAAGTCCAAGAAATTAGAAATCAAAAAAATGAAACACAATTTGCTATAATATTGTAAATCTAAGTAAGTCAAGTTGTATCTTTAACTCACCTACCAAGCTTTGAATAAATACTTCACAAAGATTTCACATTTTCACCCGTGAATTATTTAGAACAATTGTTAAAAATATATATATAAAGTTAGAAATAAGATACAATGTACAAATCATAAACACATCGAAGCATACACATCCAACACTTATATTCACATAATGAATCATCATAATAGTGGCCTTTCTTCTCATCCAATTGTAATGCAACCACAATCTTCTACAAATCCTCAGTGTACAACTAATAACAAAACACATAACATCGAATGATTGAACTTAAATTTTTTATTAAAAAAATATCAAACATTTTAAGCTAAAGTTAAAAAAATAAATCATTCAAGGAAAATGCTTGAAGTAAATTTGAAAATGTTATAGATGAAGAAAACACAATCTTTGAAGTCTATGGGCATCTTCTTTGATAAGACTGAAACTTAATACCTCTATTTACATGCTCACTACTAAGAATAACTTCTAAAAAGTAAGTCTTTAATCAAGTTGTCGCTTGTGCATATAATTTTCTACTCCGTAAAAAGTAAAAAAAATAAAATATTCTTTAATATGTCCTTATAAAGAGGACAAAACATATTCATAGGAGAAAATTTGAAATTAAATATAAAATTACTTAGCACTCCGTTATAGATAATTGAATTACGATAATGGAAATTAGTACATCTGAAAATTATATTTGAATAAAAAATTAAAACCGGAACTTATTACCTTTGATGCTTCCTTTGCTATTATCATGATAAACCATCCATAGCTTTCTTGCTCTTTCTCGAAAGAAAAAGAAATTGATAAAAAATATTCAAAGTAGCATCAAGAAATTACTTGGGATTCATCTATCTTCTTACAACTTAAACTAAAATATGAGAATAGGGTAGAATCAAGATTTTCTTACCCGTATTTTTCTGAGATTGAGACGAAGCTTAAGAACCTGGCTATCTTGATGCTGCAAAAATGATTTTGATAAATCTAGTCCATGGTTTGAGAGACCTAGATTTAAGAAGACCAAATCAAAAAATTAAATTCAAGAAAGAAACTTGCTGTTAAATATATTTACCATATATATTTATGTTAAGTATATTTAATGTATTTATTATTATATCATTGTATTATTGGTAGTTACCTTTTGTTTAGGTTTCGTACTTGTATTAGGAGTCCCGTCCTGTCTATATATACGGTTGTACGACTACACGTTTAATCATTGAAAATATTCATTCTTCATGGTATCGGAGCCAGATCCAAAACCCTAATTTTTATTCTTCTCTTTCTCTCGGCGTTGCTCTCTCTCTCTCTCTCTCTCTCTCTCTCTCTCTCTCTCTCGGCCTACTGCCGCAGCAGCCCCACCCCCCATCCGTCGTCCTCCCCTCTTCCTCCTCATGGAAAACTCCGACAAGACGACGGACAAACCTCCTTCTCCCTCCACTACCTCCTCAAATTCTCCCCACTTGGCTTTCACGGCTATATCTAACGTCAAACTTCACGTCCCCATATAGTTGAGTTTTTCTCAACCTAATTACAAAAAATGGTGCCGCCTTTTCTTTCTCCTTGTTCGACGGTTCAATCTTCACGGGTTTCTCTCCGGCTCTAAGATCCCCTCTTCCACCGACGACGACGAATGGTTTCAACTCGATGTTTTGCTTCAAGGATGGATCCTCTCTACGGTGACCGATGAGGTCTCCGATTTGGTCATCTCCTCCACCTCAACGGCCTCCGAACTTTGGCGGGTGATTCATGATCTCTTCCACGACAATAAACCGGCTCGGGCTATGCAATTGGAACACCAATTCCGCATTACGGTCAAAGGATCTATGCCCATGGCCACATATTAAACTCTCCGGAACATCGCCAATTGGCTAGATGACGTCGATGGCCCAGTCTCCGAATCACAGCTGGTGCTCCAACTCTTACGGGGGTTACGAGACGATCTCCAAGCCCAAACATCTTGGATGCAATTTCAACAACCCCAACCCAATTTTCTCCAAGTCCGGTCAGC